AGCACTCATGATCAATAATTCTTGCTCGAAATGTCAAAGGCCACAAAATCAAATTTTGTAAGGTTTGTTATGATAAAAATTATACAATGCAAAGTATACTAATAATATTAAAAAATAAAAATAAAATTTAATAATAAAAACAAACATAATAATAAAATTTAAACTTTTCAAATAATATATTAGATCATTAGATTCTATATATTAAATCATTTAAGTTCTTCAAATGTATATTATATGTGTCATTAGATTTAAAACACATAATACATTAGATACATACCTCTTAATGATCTAAATAATTTAGATCTTTCAATTTCTCATATTGAATGATGAATTGAATTACATTAAAAATTATGATTAGTGTGGATATGAAAAGTATATGAACATTCATTATTTCATCATAAATAATGTTTTTAAACGGAGCTATTATTATTATTATTACTCGTGTGTCGTTTGAAATGTTATGTTAGTTGTAGTTAAAAAATTACATCCAATTCACACACAATTTTTAAATAGATTAATGAAACATGCGAAAATAAACTCCAATATGCCATAATACCATAATGAATCATTTTAATGCTAAATCATAATAAATTTCATTAACTATGTTTTTTATACAATCTATTGAATTGCAATAAAATTTATTATTATTTGAGGCTAGAATTGTCCTTATGGCATTTTAGAATTTATTTTGGTGCTTTGAATGAAAACACTTAATGAACATGTGTGATTTAGACCAAAAATTTTCAATTCTCATCACCTGGGTTGAAGAATAATATTGTCTAATATTACTTATAATAGGTAATATGTTAGTGAGAAATAATTGAGATTAAATTATTTGTTACTTAAAAAATAATGACTAAATTAGAATTTTTTATCCATACTATTGGTAAGGTCGTGCGAATTTCATTCAAGAATTTTGATTAGTTAATTTGTTTGTTAATACAAGCGAAAAGAAGAATTTATATGTTTTACTTAATTATTTTTACTATAAGTTTTTTTTTTTACCCTTCTCAATTGATAAAATGCTAATCCAAACGCTAAATCACATCTTTTTTAGGTAAGAGATCACTCACATATTTTAACATGACAAATTTTGGAAAAACATATATGCCAATGTGAGACAAAGTTCTACTAACTTTCACCTATTATATCACTATGTCATTTCAAAGTATACATTCAAGAAATTTGAATAAATATGGAGGTTTAACAAATATATTTGGGTTTCTTTCATATATGTTTTTTTTATAATTATTTTGATTAAAACATTGTACTATTTTTAGTGTTGATTGAGTTATTCTAAGCCGAATTTTTAGATTTTACTAGGTATTTCTTAATTTTTATCTTTTAAAAATTTGAGTGGCGACTCTATTTTTGTCCCTCCACTTTTTTGAAAAAGTAGTTCAAAAAAAAATTAAAAAAAAAGATAGAAAAAAAATAGAAATTAGGACAAATTTGAAAAAAATTAAATCCTTGACTATATATTTTTTTTCATTATGATTTTTGTTTATGTCATTTCATTTTATTTTTTCAATGAAAATAATTTTTTCTTGTTTCATATTTATCTTTGAATTTTATATTAGGTCTTGGACATGATCTTACTATTTTAAAATTGCATGGTAGGTGGATATAGACTAGAGGTTTAGTCCTTATTTTTGGATTCTTTTTGTATCTTAGACTTGAAATGTTTATTTCATAAGTTGGCAAGTGAATTTAGCAATATGATCCATGTTCGTTTTATGTTATTTTTACATCTCTTTGTATAGGGTTTGGTCCTTAATTTGCAAATTGAATTAGTGCCCAACTCGACCTTTTCAAATGGACTCTAATGGCCTAATAACAACTTAGATGAGAAACCGAACCTTATTATTATTTTCAAATTACCTCACTTAAAGCCGATTAGAAAAAAAATCGATAATCAACTCATAAATTAAGATAGAAAAGTTGACACATAATTGGACTTTGCTTGAGAAATTTTTTATAGGTTAGAATTGAATAATAATCTCATTAGAAAGACACGATAAAGTGATTCTAGTTTTTTCTAGATGTACAATCAACTCCTTTAGCAAGAACTTTTACATTTTACTAGGTTTTTCTTAATTTTTATCTTTTAAAAATTTGAGTGGTGACTCTATTTTTTTCTCTCCATTTTTTTTAGAAAGTAGTTGAAAAAAAATGAAAAAAAAAAGAAAGAAGAAAATTAAGAAAAAAAGACGAGAAGAAAAAAATGGGAAAGCCGAAAGAAAAACAATATAAATTAGGACAAAACTAAAAAAATTAAATCACTTGATTATCATTTTTTTCTCATTATGATTTTTGTTTATCTCATTTTATTTTATTTTTTCAATGCAAATAATTTTTTCTTTTTGCAGATTTATCTTTGAATTTTATATTAGGCCTTGGACATGATCTTATTATTTTAAAATTGCACGGTAGGTGGATATAGGTCGGAGGTTCAATCCCTATTTTTGGATTATTTTGTATCTTAGACTTGTAATTTTTATTTCATGAGTTGGCAAGTGAATTTAGAAATATAATCCATGTTTGTTTTATGTTATTTTTATATCTCTTTGTATAGGGTTTGGTCCTTAATTTGTGAATTGACTTAATGCCTAACTCTACCTTTTCAAATGGACTCTAACGACCTAATAACAACTAAGATGAGAAACCGACCTTATTTTTGTTCCAAATCATCTCATTTAAAAATGATTAGAAAAAACTTGATAATCAACTCATAAATTAAGATAGAAAAGTGGACATATAATAGGACTTTGCATGAATTTTTTTTTCATAGGTTAGAATTGAATAGTAATCTCATTACAAAGACACGATAAAGTGATTGTAGTTTTTTCTAGTTCTACAATCAACTCCTTAAGCTAGAATTTTTAGATTTTACTAGGTTTTTCTTAATTTTTATCTTTTAAAAATTTGAGTGGTGTCTCTATTTTCAAAGACATTTTACAATTGTCGAGAGATTACCGAATGACACTAACAATGTTTGAAAACCCAATAAATTGTTAAGCACCAAAAGAAAATTGTAGATTTTCATCTTCAAAAACCTAAGATTCTAAGAGAAAGAACGAAGGAATTCGTGTTTGCCTCACAAATAAATAAATTGCATTAATTAATAAAGAGAAGGTATGTTTTCAAACGTGTAAGTTAAATTAATCAAATACAATTGATAAAAATTAGTTCTCCATTAATAGAGACTTTTAAGATTCTCTATTATAACTTTTAACATGGAGTATGATTTTACAAATTTTACTAAATAAAGTTAATTCATACATTAGTACATTACAAGAAAAACTAAAACCAAACGCTAAAGTACTCGTAGTGTTTTTACCGTTCACTCACTATTCACACAATTTTTTTTTATTTTTTTTATTAACCTTACATTGCCTATAGCCCAGCTTTATTTTTTTTCTCTTCTTTTTTTTTCTCCCATGCCTTGCCTTACCTATAGCACGATTTCTTTCTTTCTTTCTTTCTCTTGTCTGCTTGAAGCCTCTCTTTTGGCTTTAAATTAATTTTACATTTTAATCCCTATTTTATAATTTTTTTATTTTAGTCATTAAATTTTTATTATATTTGATTTTTAGTTCTATAATAAATCAGTTTTATTTTTCTCTTATCGCATTTTTTAAGCTCTTTTTTTTGGCTTTTAGTGAATTTTATTTTTATTTTAATTCTCGATTTGTAATTTTTTTTATTGTGGTTATTAAAATTTTATTATACTTCATTTTTATCTCTATAGTAAATATTAAAATTTTATTTTATTTTTTTTTAGTTCTTGTTTTGTAACTTTTTTATTTTGATCATTAAAATTTTATTATATTTAATTTTTATTCTATAGTAAATCATTTTTTCTCTTCCTGTATTTTTTAAGCTCCTCTTTTGGCTTTTATCAAATTTTATTTTTATCGTAGTTCCTGTTTCGTAGCCTTTTATTATTTTAGTCATTTAAATTTTATTATATTTGATTTTTTTCTCTATAATAAATATTGAAATTTTATCATATTTGATTTTTTTCATAATAATAAATATTTTTTTCTTGGCTTTTAGTAAAGCTCGCTCACAATCTTATTGTTTATAAGTTTTTTTTTTTTTTTGCTTTTAGTAAAAGGTTTTTTTTTTTTTTTTTTATCATTCTTTTATGATCTTTACTTTATTTTGATCATTTAATTTTGATAGTGTGTAATTTTATCTTTATATATATATATATTGTGAAATTCTTGATTTGACAAAATTTTTTGTCTTTTTGTTTTGGGTGGTCTCTCTGTCTCATTAATAAATTACGGATGAAGAATATATGGTAAAAATTAATTATCCAAAATTCAAAAAACTACTATATTATTATTTAATTATAAGTTATTATATATATTTCTAATAAAATACATGTTTATATCAAATAATATCTAATTAGCCACATTATATTACTCGACTTTGTTGCGGACTTTTCATTTAGCTAACCCTACGGCAAAATATAAGATATATGTTTTGGTTTTTTTTCTTAATTTTTTTTACGTGATCCTTTTAAATAATTATTTTTAAATTTTAAATTTTATAATGAATGAATACATAAGAATGTTGTATAATTCATTTCGAATTTTTTTGTGTGGTCCTTTTACATAGTTATTTTTAAATTTTAAATTTTATATGAATGAATACATAAAAATATTGCATAACTCATCTCGTGACAATACGCGAGATATATGCTAGTAAGTTCTAAATTTTTTTTTGTTTTAAAAAAAATAAAAATGAAAAGATTAATGAGAAGAAAACATTTTTAAAACAAAATAATAATAAATTATATAATTATAATAATACTGATTAATAGATTAAATAATTATTTTCAAAACACGACAGATATTTAATTCGTTTTGCAAAATAAAAATAAAAATGTAATTTACTTTCTATTGGACCCTAAAAACACTCTTAAAACCCTCGTTAAGCGAAAGTAAACAGTTCGTCTTCTCTTCCCTCCTCTCTTTCTCTCGTCTTCCATGGCTGTGAGTAGTACTTCGTTTGCTTTAGATTTGGGTTTGTGATACTTAGATGATTTCTTATGCTAAAATAACATTGTTGTGCAGACCGTACCTGTTAACCCAAAGCCCTTCTTGAACAACTTGACTGGAAAGACTGTCATTGTCAAACTCAAGTGGGGAATGGAATATAAAGGTAAATATTTTTTTCTTTTTTTGTACTAATTTCCCAATATGATTTTACTTATTATGTTTTCTTTGATCGGTTGGTTCATCATTGATCCACAGGTTTTCTTGCCTCTGTGGATTCATACATGAACCTGCAGGTAACAGTTCAGCCTCCATTTTAAATTTGTCTAAATTGGACATTGAAATTCCAGTGATTTCTGCTTTTTTGATTTGGGACATGTTTGTTACTCACCTTTTTGAATTAAATGGATTTGAATCTGATTTTGCAGCTGGGAAACACTGAAGAGTATATTGATGGACAGTTCACGGGAAATTTGGGAGAGATATTGATCAGGTAACTTATAACCCATTTTACTGAACTGTGTGCTTAATTCATAAACTTATACATTACCAAACTGTTTCTGGTTACAACAACAACAACAATAAAACTATGTTTGGGACTGCTAGGCGTAAACAGAACCCTCTTTTAAGTCTCTAGTTTGAGTTGCTAGGAAGATAAAGAAAAATAAAAGAAAAACATAAATGGTTAAATGGTCTTTCCTATTTTTGAAGACCAAAGAGCTTCGAAGTCTTGACTGCATTATGTATGTCCCCAAGGAAGTATTTACTACGGGTTGTGGGTTAGAAGTATAGATAAAGTTGCAGACACCAATAGTCCTAGCAGAGTATGCTCAGTTATTTTGTGAATAAATGATGCAAAGGAGAGTTTAATATGAAAATTTTTTATGACCACAACTAAATGGTGCGTTCATTTTAGTTTCTGTCCTGCCTTTAGCTATGGTGTACTGAATATTGCTTTTGCATGGAATTAACTCCACAAAGAGTGGTGAGTCTGTGAGAAAGTCATTAGAAGAGTAGACTTCAAGACCAGGTTCCACACCTCATAGAAACACTAAATGTCTGCACTATCTCTAGAATAGTATATATGCAAATTGCTTTTATTGTTTTCACAATTTTATTAGAATTTCAAGCTTCATAATTCTTCAGAAGAGTTACAGGACCTGTTTGTGTTTTATCTACAGGTGTAACAACGTTCTTTACCTTCGTGGAGTTCCAGAGGATGAAGAAATAGAAGATGCAGATAGAGACTAGGAAGTGCTCTTCGTAATATTTCAAGTCATCGAGTTAATAGAGCCCTGGTAGTTTCGAATTCAACCGTGCAAATGTTATGTTTCTGTTGTAATCAGTTGTGTTGTTTAACTTTGGCATTAACTACGAAATTTACCATGCCTGATTGACAAATAAATATTATTTAAATTTAAATCTTGTTTTAGTAAATACTCTGTTTAGCACCTTATCTAGTGTCATGGCAGAGGCTGGTTGAATTATTCATGGAAACCATCTAGTGATGTTGCATAACCATGTAATTATGTTGCAGTCTCATCATCATGTGATATTTTTGTTAATGACAACTTACATGGCAATTTTTATGGTTATTTGAAGATGTTGAAATTATGATGACTTCGTTGCAGAACTTTAACACTCTTGTTTTGGTTGCATGGAAAGATTAATATGATGGAAATGAAAGAGGAAGAAGCGAGAAGTTTGCAAATTGAAGTGATTCTTTTATGTAGTTATTTGTTTAACAAGGAGGAGAAAAGCAAAGTATATTAGCTTTTTGGGAGCATCTCATTTTTTTCATCTCTTATTTCTATTAGGTTCGTGCATCTCTTCTTCATAATCAACCAAATAATACTATGTAGAATTTAAAAATAAAACAAATAATTACATAGTTGTAACCAGATTGTTAAAAAACTCTTATGTGGAAGGAGAATCAAAGGAAAGAACATTCATGCCAAGTTCTTATTTATTTTTCGTAAAAAGTAGAAGTGATGAACTCGTTGATTTGCATCCTGAAAGTTCCTGCTCTCCCTTTCTTGTGATTTCTTAGTAGAGCGATCCTTTTTACAGTTCAGGCTAGGTGAAAATATTTATTTCCTCTAGTTTGAGTTTTGTTTTCTTTTTCTTTCTTTCTTTCTTTTTTTTTTTTTTTTCTTTTTTGAGTGTTTTTATTCTTTGCAAGAGCTTAATAAATAGTGTGTGCAATTGTCTTTGCTGTATTTTGTGGCTATACTCAATTGAAGATGGCTATATGATGACTTGGTAAATGATTGTGCCAGATCAACGGAGCCACACAGTTTATTATGTTGCAGGATTTCAGTTTGGAAACTTGGGGTGCTAGATTTTGCATGTTTAGGCCAAATGCATAGTGGTAGTGTTGCGTTTGATGGTGCTACACTGGTTAGTGTGCTTTCTTCATTGATTGGGCAAAATGGTGGTGGTGATGTTGATGGGGGGTCTTACAGGTTGTTTTCGGTTGCATTGTCTTAGTGTCCAAAGTGGGTTTATGTCAAACATTGAAGTTGTGATTGCATTGGTGAAAGCATATTCTGATCTTGAAGGGGAAGTTGTCGAGATGATGCTTGTTGACTGGCAGCATTGTAACTACTTTTTGCTGAACTGGTACTAGAAGAAGCTCTCTTCCTCATTCACAAGTTGTATAGGGAGGGTTTAGCTCCAGATTGGTATGCATTTTCTATTGTGTTAAAAGTTTATGCAGGTCTTGTGATGGAGAGGCATGCCTTGGCAATTTAGTCTCCAGTAACTAAAGCATTGCAGCAAATTCCTTGATCGATGCCTAAGCAAGTTGTGGCTCCATTTCTTGTCCAAGTAGGGTTTTGATGAGAGAAGATATTGTGATTGAGTTTCTTGGAATTTGAATATCAAGGCTGATCCTCTACATAGCCAAGCTAAGGAAGCATCGCCTCTCTTTTCAAAAATCAATGTCTGCAACCATGGCTGCTCTCCTCTCAGCAAGCATCATGGGGGACTGGTGGAAGAAGGGATAAAAAATTGACTTAATATGTGCAAATCATGGTGTTTCTCCACGGGTAGATCAGTATGTTTGCATGGTTGATAGTCTCGGCGAAGCTGAGCATCTTCGGAGGTGAAGGACCTTATTAGTAGAATGCCTATCCAGCCTGGTTCGGTGGTTTGGATGTTCTGCTTAGCTCATGTAGGAAGTATGGTGAGACTCAGTTGATGAAGTTAGCAGCGACTGATCTTAGAGGTGATTGAGAATACAGTGCCTGAGTTTGGCTCCATTATTCCATTCGTCCTACTTGTACACAAATGGATTCCTCTATTGCCACATAAAAGTAGTTTCTTGCTTTGTTATGCTATGAAAATCTAATGCTCTGATTTTTTTTTTAAAAAAAGTTATCTTTTTATTCCATATAGCAAAATAATATTACTGTTTTTTTTTTATTTTTTATTATCTCTGTCTTAAATAGATTGTCTTCTATGATTTTTCACACTAATTTAAAAAATTATTAATTGTTGTACAATTATTTATTTAAAAAAAAACATATTTAAAAAAAGTGTATTTAGACAATCTTTTTAAAAAATAAACTTTAATGATGATATTTTAGAAAAACATACCACTTAAAGCAGATAAGATGAATATCTCGAGATAGATATAAACAGAAATATAATTTTTTTTTTTTTTTTTTAAAGACTAGTGGTAAACCTGCCAATTTCGATATCCTAAATTTAATTGGAAGATAAAATGGAAATCTAGAAAATGAAAAAAAAATTAAATTAAATTAAGTAGATACAATGCTCCATAATTTGACGTGGCTTGCAATGGGAGAAACAGCCACTCACCTCCTCCCGATGTAACGGTTGGATGGGCTCACAGATTCCGCAGCCCACGATCTATAACTTGTAAGACTGACTCCGTCTCTCTCTGTCACTAGTCACTTCTAGCAGTAGAATCTTGTGAACAAATCACTCTTTTCTTTCTACAATGGCTCTTCGCTCTCTCGTTTCTCGAAAAACCCTAGGCTTAGCCTCCTCAGGCTTGAAGCTCCAATTCCGTGGGTTGCAGACTTTCTCCCTGCCCGATCTTCCGTACGATTATGGAGCTTTGGAGCCTGCAATTAGCGGGGAGATTATGCAGCTCCATCACCAGAAACATCACCAGACTTACATCACTAATTACAATAAGGCGCTTGAACAACTTCACCATGCCATGGAAAAGGGCGATTCTTCTGCTGTTGTTAAATTGCAGAGCGCTATCAAGTTCAATGGCGGAGGTGAATTTTTTCCTCCCCGATAAATTGATTAATTTGACTTTTGACTCATTAAATTTGATGCTATTATTCTTATCTAGGGAAGTTGGTAATTCAGTTAGGTGAAGAGAAGGAGGGTTTTAATGACCATATGAATGTAACATTATTTGGGTCTCTTTAGAAAGGCTTGTATCTTTTATTTTTTATTCTGTCTTGATGCTACAAGTTCCAGATGGGATATTCGCCTTTCGCACAAACTGGTCATATGATTGTATTGATAACTTGGTATAGATATTTTTGTTATGCCTACTTAGAGACCCCAGTTGAGATGCCATTAAATGCGTGATACTAAGAACAACCAGCTCAAATATTGGCTAATATATGTAGTTTGATTGAAAAGGAAAAGATTGTTAACATATTGTCTTCTGCTTTTGCACAGGAAAGATCCACTCACTGTTCTAGGATTTTTGTTATGAAAGGAAGCAAGTAGAACATCTAATATTGCCAGAAGTTGTTCTTGCTTGTCAATTTGTAGAAAAAGTTAATTCCCTTTTATGTATTGTCTTTTGTATGGTTATTGCTTCATCTTTATTTTGTCTGACTTAATATGATTATTGAAACTTACAAAAGGACTAGCTTAGAACTCAAAACTTTTTGTTTGTTGACTTCAACGTTGATGTTGCCTTATCAGTATCCTTGACTTAATTATTCCCGTGCAGGTCATGTCAACCATTCAATTTTCTGGAAGAATCTTGCTCCTGCCCGTGTAAGTTTTTATTGTTTCTGTAAGTATAATTGGCTTCCACCATCGATTCTGTAGTTAACAGTAACGCTTATTTATGGCAGGAAGGAGGTGGCGAACCACCACATGGTAACTTGGGCTGGGCAATTGATGAAGATTTTGGTTCTTTAGAATCATTGATTCAAAAAATGAGCGCAGAGGGTGCTGCTGTACAGGGATCTGGATGGGTTGTAAGTAGTTCAACTTGTCTCATTTTTAATGGTTTTCCATTTTAGTATTTCTTTTTTTATAATATGTTTGTTTGCGTCTTCCTTACGCATTTCTCTTTCATTTCAGTGGCTTGGTCTGGACAAAGAATCAAAGAAACTTGTGATTGAGACCACAGCAAATCAGGTAAATTTATAAATTATGTTATAAAGTACTCATAATGACTAATTGAATTTCTTAAGTTGCTAATATTGTTGCTGTTTCTAAATTGTTATCCATTGATCATACTAAGACAAAAGCATAGACCCCTTATGAGAACACTAGATATACACAGAACTCCAATTTATATGATTCTGTAATAGAACAGTGATCAAACAGTTATCTGGATTTTTTCGCCTTAAGTGTTATGTATTCTTTCTGCGATTCATTTTGGAGTTGGTCGATGTCCCTTTGAGAAGAGAATAAAGTTTATGCTGGACTAGTGAGAAGCAGTTACCTTGTTTCCTGCTCGTTTGTGAGTTATGTAATTATCAAACTTTTTCAAGTTAGAGAACTTGTCAGTGCAACTGTTGAGTTTGGTTGTTTTACATATTTGATTTAGATTCTAGATCAGATGGATTTCCCCAAACTTATATAGTCTTCCAATGCTTGTTATTGTGCGGTATTGTTAGTTGTCTAATCATGCTTATGATTCTTGTCACAGGATCCATTGGTAACTCTAGGACCCTTAGTTCCTTTACTTGGTATTGATGTTTGGGAGCATGCATACTACTTACAGGTGAAACTTCTTTTTTTTTTTTTAATCTAAATTATGCAATGTGGTTGCTTTGTGACATGTGGTTCTGTTTTCTTTATGATGAGTAGGATCCTGTAACAGTAGGTTTTGATTATGTTTGATTTTTAATCTTCATCACTGAGGAGCTTAACTTGTTATATAGTGTTGGTTGCCATAGAATGTGTTGGAGGGTTTAGTTTAAACTTTAAAGGAACTTAGTAGATTAGTGAGCATCATGAATTTCAAAATCGTTCCTCTTTGTTGCAAATGTGCATGACGGTACAGTTGGTATAAATGAAGTAAAGTTGTCACCTGCTTACAATAGGAAAGGTGAAAGTGTCTAATCTTCTTTGGGCTATATTATCTTCTTGGAATAAGGGCTTGTTGGTGATGAAAGGAGTGGTTAGGATTCTTTTTTGAGCCCATGAATTTGACACCAATTTGCATGTTGTGCTTTCTCCGTTCTTAAAGCAGCAGTTATTTTAGTATGTGATTGCACCCAAAACATGAAACCAGGACCTAATGTATTGTACCTTAACAATCTTTTAACATTCCTCACAACCATCATCCATGATGAAGATTTACTTTACATTAATGTTGAGCTCACTAGTCAATCAAATTGCTGCCAGTTTGTGGTATTTGATGTTGGAAAAAAAGAAAAAAGAAAAGGCAAAGCAATCATTTCCTCGCCCCCCTACAATTTATCTTCTTATTAATGCGACTGAAAGCCTGCCTTCTTCTGTGTTGCCATAACTATTGTTCCTGTTTGGGCTTATCACAAAGTTAAACAACCTTTTGTTTGCTTGCTGCTCTCTCTTATATGACTTGGGAAGTTTATTTTCCATGGCGCAGTACAAGAATGTCAGACCTGATTATCTAAAGAACATCTGGAAGGTAGTGAATTGGAAGTATGCCGGGGAAGTTTATGACAAAGAACGCGCTTAAGTCAAGGTCAAAATCACACCTGTTGGGTACTGGTTTTGGACACAGATGTGGGTTCATAGCCTGCCCTGGTTAGAAGGAATAAAAATTGATGCAGTATATGCATTTTGTAACATATGAAGTATCCTTTTTCTTTTTCCCCAAAAAAATGAGTTGCTGAGTTGTTTACTGGTGTATCGAATGTTTTGAAGCCAGAATAATTTTTATGAACCTTGCGTGCTTGTTTGTTCCACCGTCGGATGTCGAACCTCTTTTATGCAAACCGCTTTTTATGAGACGGCAGCAGGGCATGTGTACAGTTTTATACACAATAGACACTTTATACTCACTCGTTATTTGCTATTGTTTCCGCATGTAATGGTGGTACGCTGTATGGGGACTTGAAGAGTGAAGCACTGTAATTTTTGTGATTATTTACCTGCCTATTGCGGAGCACTGTCCCTTCTCTTAGACGATTCTTTGCACGCTGTCCAGTTCAATGCCCCTTGTCGTTAAATAAAGGGTCACTGGCGCTGTCCGTTGGAAGTTCTCCCCATGAGTGGATTTGGTACTGACCTCAAATCATTTATAACGTAAAAGTGCCACTCTAGTAGACGAATTTCGAACAGAGAGAGAAGAGAAATTGGTCAGTTGAGGGATGTGATGGTTGTTCAGCAGCCAAGGCATTATGTTCGGCCTAACTCGATTTAGAGAAAGAGTTGCGTTTTGTTATATATATATATATGCGCACGCTAGATTTTTACCCTTGTTGCGCTGCGAGTCGAATATTATCAAGTATCATTCCTATATTATAAAAAAATAAAACATATAAAATTATTTTAAAAATAATTTTAATTTAATAGTTCATAGTATATTATAGGTCTACCAAAAGGTATCAAGTTAAAAAAAAAAATCATTAATATTTTTTTTTCAAAGTTATGTGTTTACTAATTATTTATTATGTTTTTCATAAATTTATGATAAAAAAAACACATGATTTATTCTACTGCATCCAAATTCTTAACTAAAAGTTTGTATAAAAAAAAAACTCATGGATTCTTAACTAAAAACATTTTTAATCTTTAGATCTCTCTGAAAAAACCATTTCTTGTACATATATACTGCTATCATTTAAATATTCAAAAAAAAAATCCATCAATATAAATTATATTAATTTTTTAAGAATAAATAATCATATTTTTAAACTTCACTGAAGTATCCGTATATAGATCACTTTATTTCTCTCTTTTTCGTAGTTATGGATAAACTGCAATACAAATAAAATAATGCTATCTGAAAACGGAGAAAAAATGACATAAAAGACAATGTAAACCGAAAAAAATGAGGAGATAACACAAGAGAATCAGATTGCATTCAAAGGGAAAAAATAAAAGAAAAGAAAGAAAGGCCCAGAAGCATGAGCGCAGAGTTCAAGTAGAAAATACGAAGATAGATGCATTAAATGCTATGGTAGGGAAGGAAAGAAAATGACAAAAAAAGGCCGGAAGATTATAAAGACAGATAACAAAGAAAAAACTAACAATGCAAACAAAGGAATGGCATAAAAGCAATTAAGGTAAGAGCATGAGGGTGAAAAAAAAAAGGAAAAATTGAGTGGGTGATGTGTCAAAAAAGGCAAAGACAAGACGAAGAAAAACAAAAAATAGCTGAACAGTAAGAGGAATAGGAACATTGAGTCTGTGTCCACAGTGCACTGAGTCTATGTATACAGTTGTTCAAACAGTAATTGTCTTTATAGTCTTCAGGCCTTTTTTTGTCATTTTCACTAAAAGATCATATACACTATTTTTACTGTAGACACGGACACAGTTGCACTGTGTTGGTTCTTTAATTGCCTCTGAGCTCTTGAGTTTTTATTAGGCATGATTCTGCACCGTTGGATTTACATTTTTTCAATTAATTAATTTTCTTATGTCTCTTGATGGACTTTTGCTATTACTATTTTGCCCTCCATTAATTTCCTTTCTTTTCTGCCTCTGTAGCCCTTTGTCGTAATTGTCTTTTTTATTTTGGCAAAGCATTTAATGCTGGGCATTTCACCCGTTGTCTTTTCCAACATTGGTTTCTTCAAAGCCTATTGCTTTAATTTTTAACTATAAAAACAAATAGAAGATTTCGAAGTCTCATCTCATTTGTTGGTTATTATTATTATTGTTATGTACGGAATTTAAGTGAAATCTAAGAACAGATTACAAATCGGTACTGATTTTTCTTTTACCTTAACATAGAAAAATAAAAACCGCAAATTGGTAGTAATAAAAACCATTATCTTATAAATTTGTATGAAAATATCATTGTTTTTTTAATTTCAATTTAGTTATTAAATGATATCTTGGAATCATTTTTCACTTTTTTTTATTAATTCATAATTTAAATTTTAGGAAAAAAGAGAGTAATTGTAAATTATAAATTATCCATAGTTATAACAGAAATTAACATCGTTAATGATGTTATTTAAAGGATTTCAGTATATATATGTTTTTTTTATGTCATTATAAGAAGTACAATGATATTTTACATAAATAATAATATTGTTATATAATTTTTTTATCTGCTATATTTAATTATTGTTTGTATAATATTAAACTACTAGAAAGATTATTAATTTTATTTAATAAACTCAGCTACTATATTATGATATCAAATTATTGAAGATATTATTATTTTATTTTATTGTTAAGACTATTAAAAATATATAAATTAAAATAACATAATGACAATGCTTAGTATATTAATATATTCACAATATTAATTATCATAATTGTTGTTTTACTCTTACAATAATTTTACTATATATATTAAAAGACGTAGGGGGTACTTTGAAGAGTGAGTTTCATTGTTCACCCCCTCACAAATCACTATTCATCTTTTTTTTTCGTAATTTCTAAATTATTTTATTTTAATCCTTAAAATTTTAAAATAAAAATTTTAACCCCTTAGCCGATGCACTACACATATTTATTTTATTTTTTTTGGGCTTTTTCCTTTGATTTTTTTCATTAATTTGTGTTTTTTTATTTATTTAATCTGGGTGATAAACTTTTAAAAAATCAATTGGTATTTTTTTTCACATAAACTAACGATTATATAATATATAAGATATGTTTTTAGATTTTAGAATAGATATATACTATTCTTATTGTTTAAAATTGATCTTTTCAATTTATTATAAAAATTCACATCAAGTTAATTTTTATTTTTATTTTTATATTAAAAATTAACTATACATCTTCCAACATAATACAAATTATTTACTAAGAATATTTTTTTAACGTTATAGAACCAATTTATTTGAAATAAATTAATTAAAATAATTTTTTAAAGAAACCAACTAATTATTCAAATATATTTTTTTATGCTAATTTTATTAATTATTTTGTAAATAGATATATATAGATCAAATGCATATACTTGAAAAAAAAATCTTCTCACAACATTAAATTCGTTGGTTAATTTTTATGCAAGTCCATACATTAATTGTAACTTTATTTTTTTGATACATTCTTATAAAAAAAAATTAAGTAATTATTTTTGAATTCTCAATTAATATTTCACGTTTAAATTATTACAAGTTTTTATTTAAGAATCCCTAAATAAAGAAGAATAAATCATATTTTTTAAGTAGAAATTTTATGAAAAACAAACAAAAAAATAGTTATAATGAAATAAAAAATTAATGAAAAAATTGTGAAATTTTGAAATGATTTTGTTTTATCTACCTGTATTGTTGCGTGTATTATTTCAAAAATTAATCTTCTCATCAGCATTAAATAAGAAATTTTTTTTCATTTGTAAAAGTTTATCCATTAATTATAACTTTATTTTTTGGAATACAATATCGTGAAAATTATATTTTAAAGTTTTTTTTTTCAAATTCTTGATTAATATTTTAGTTAGAATTATTATAATTTTTTATTTTAAAATCAATCCATAACGAATAATGGTTTATGTGTTTTTTTTAAGAATAAAAGAATTATTAAAAAAACTATAATTAAAAAAATTAAAATAATTTTGTTCTATCGGATTTGCGAGCATAGCGCGGACAACTAGCTAGTATAATTCTATACACTATGGTGTTCCAAATGGATTATTTTAAGGTTTTTAGTAGTTAAATTAATAAAGAAAAAAATAATATTTTAAATTTGAAATTTCACATCGGTTTTTCTATCTATTTTAATTTAAAAGTCTTATAAAATTATCTTAATAGATATTTCATATAATGAATGGTATAAATAATAAAAAAAAGATAAATAAGTCAATTTATCGTTGAATGATAGTTTTTTAATCCAGTCTTATATTTTTAAGTTGATCTATTATGTTTCGAATAGTATTTAAGATTACAATCTGTCTTTTTGATCAATTTTTTCGACAATGAATAAATTTTTTGATCAAAATAAAAGGAAAAAAAACACTTAAAGTCACAAGATCTACATGTTTTATTTTTAGAGTCTTTAAATTTTTGTTTGTATTATTATTATTTTTTTGTTTTTGCATTCTAGTTGGGGGTAATTTTGTTAAAAAAATTATCTATTATCGAAACATTGATCGAAACGAGTAAATTAGAGACTTTAAACAATGTTTAAGAATTTAATAAATACAATTAGAAACACAAGGGTAAATTAGAGATGCAGACAGTTATATAAGGATGGATTGACCTATTTATCTTAAAAAATAAATATAAGTTTGCTCTTAATAAAAATTATAGTATTAATATTTGTAGATATAAGATTGAGAAGGTGAAATAATAACACTAGAAAACATATAATAGATACAGTTGGGAAATACACCAATTTTCCCACTATTAGTAGATAAAATGATTTATTGACAATTTTTAAGTTGTAACTTGAAAAAAAAAAATTAAGTCTATTTTTTGTATTTCTTAAAAAAAAAAAAACATTTCTCTCATATATTTTTGAAGTGAAACCTTATGTGTTGTAAGTAGAATCATCGACTACTTTATAGAGTTATGCAATGGAGTTTAAAATTTCTTACCAAATATTTATTTGAACGTTGCAATTAATTTTTTTATTTTCAAGATAAAAACTACAAAAAAGAGATGGTTTGAGATAGCTTGGCTTCATAAACTATCATTTATTATTGGGAAAATTAAACCAGGCCAATTTGAAGTGTAATACAATGGGCTGAACCAAGCAAACTTGAGCCCGGTCCACAGTATAAACCTCTCTTCGGGGTTTTTATTGGACACTGTTTCTCGCACTCAGCTTTATTGTGCTTGCCTTCAATAAAACAAAATTCAGTCATCGCTGGCAACTACAGAAGCAGCAGCCAGCAGCCTCATCTCTCTACTGCAACAAACAAATATCAATCATGGCTTTGTCTAGACTCCAGCATCCATGTTATTTACAACAATGCCCCTCCATCTCTCTTCCTTCTTCCTTTCCTCTTCGCTTCTCCTCCATCTCTTCTCAGAGACAAAGACGACTAAGTGTCGGCGTCCATACTAGTAGTGTTGCTTGTTGTAGCCTGTCCCAGCAGGAGTACCAATCTCAAGTTTTGTCGTCAGTTACTAATGGGAGTCCAGTCTCCGATAGGAAAGAGATTCGTTTCGGTTTGCCTAGTAAAGGACGCATGGCAGCTGACACTCTCGATCTCCTCAAGGTATTATTATTGTTATTATTACTGTCATTGATTTTTCAATTTGGACTTAAAAGGCAAACGTTGTTGAATTTTTTTCTTTTGTTTTGGCTTAGGATTGTCAGTTATTGGTGAAGCAAGTGAATCCTAGACAATACGTTGCAGAAATTCCTCAGGTTTCTCATCTTTATTTTTGGGTTGAAAATTCATATATCCATGAATTAATATGACTTTTTTTATTATTATTATTATAAAATCATTATTTTGATTCAATATTTTGTTTGTTATGGCTCTTGTGTTATGCAGCTCACTAACTTGGAAGTTTGGTTCCAACGACCCAAAGACATTGTACGAAAGTTGATGTCAGGAGATTTGGACCTTGGAATTGTGGGTTTTGATACTTTCAGCGAATTCGGACTGGTAAGCAGTAACTAGCTGGGGATCAATGTTTGTTTCTTACCATTAGAAAGAGTCTCTTTTATTTTAGGAATGTGTGCTTCATCACAAGTTGTTAGTTATGTATTACTTTGTATTTTTTGTTGATGGTAGTCATATGCTAAGCCTGAGCCAGATAGATGGTTTGCTTCACAGCTTGTAGACTAGGACTTCTTACTCGTTCCTTTTTCTTGCATTCTGTTTAACGCATCCATACTATTATATTACTTTTTGTACTACTTTTAATCACAGTTTACTTCTTTGGTGTAAAGTAAACCAGATATATGCCTAGAATGAGACGTCTGTAGTTCCGATGATTTCTTTTTTCTTTGTTTTCGTTTCTTAATTTTTTTTTTTTTTAATTCAGCAGATCTGCAATTATATATGAAGGATATTGAGTCTGTTGTGGCTATTGTTGTTTCCTTTCAAAAACAAAGGTTTTAAGTATTGTGGAATTCCAAAATATGGTTTTGGAAATATATTCAAAACCAACTGCATTTTGATCTTCTTTTGGCTCAAAACTTGCCTTGTTGTCTGCTCAATCCCGATCCCAAACACTCCGAAAAAGGAAACTGAAGATTTCCTTTGGAATGCTGGACATCCCCAAAGTTCAGTTTGAAGTTTAAGATTCAATATTATCTATTTATTAAATGCAGGGGAAATCTGTTACAAAATTCAGCTATCTTTGTGTTTCCTTCTTTCTTTCTTTTTTTTTTTTTAAAAAAAAAATTGATGAACTCAAATGTTGCAATCTCTACCTTTTAGTAGAGAAAGTTAGTGGAGAAAGTAAGTTGTAGCAATGCTCTTTTTTTTTTTTTTTAATGGAATCATTCTGGAACTGGTTTCTTGTTTCTTTTTCTTGCTATAACTCTGGAAGACTGCATTAATATTTATAATTCATTATTCAGTTTAAACTTTTTGTCAGGGTAATGAAGATCTTATCATTGTTCATAATGCTCTTGAATATGGGGATTGCCGTTTATCCATTGCAGTAAGATTTTTCTTGTTCTCCATATAAGTCAACTTCTACTTCTAAATGCTGATTTTCTCACAGTTTCCATTGTTTATGCTTTATGTATTGTTTTCCTTTTCTTATAGATTCCCAAATATGGGATTTTCGAAAATATAAATTCGCTGAGGGAGTTAGCACAAATGCCTCAATGGACAGCTGAGAAACCTCTCCGAGTTGCTACCGGCTTCAATCATGTACGCAGGTTCATTTTGGACACATCATGACTTAACACTTTCTGGGAACAATTCTTTTCCATTAGCTTCTGGTTAATAAGAGGTTCCATTTGGTTTTGTTTCTTTTTTGCCTTTATATACAGCTGGGTCCTAAATTTATGAAGGAGAATGGATTCATGCATGTGACATTTTCAACTGCTGATGGAGCATTGGAAGCTGCTCCTGCGGTGAGGACATAAATGTTTACCTTGTCTAATTTTGGCTTTAACAATTTGTGTAAGTTGTAATTAGTCCATCAAGAAAAATGACCATATAATCCATAATCTCATCTAGAGCTAAGGAACTTTGGATTTGTTTAAGGATGGTTGACTGCAGGATTGCTGAACACCATTATTGCGTCTGGAAGTTATAATTAGTTCTTCAGTGGAAAGTCATTGTATAATGCATTTCTTGGTCCAGAGCAAAGGAACTTTGAGTTAATATGATTTAGAATATTGTTGATGCAGCAACCTTATTGTATACAGTTCTTGCTATGTTCATATATTTACTAACGATCAGTTTTTGAGATAAGCTTCATGTTTATGGGTTTTTGTCCCTCTTTTTTCAGGTTTCCTTTTCTTTGCAAGAGATTTTGTACCTTACTGATTTGATGATTTTCTGGGACTTTTTATGATTAGTTTGATTGATGTTTATCGAATAAAAAGAGAATTTCAGAAGTCCTGTATTTGTTTTGGTTTGGTGCACTTGACCAAAAAAAAAAAGAAAAGGAATACTTGTTTTTTTTTTTCCAAGGCCAACCAAAATTTTCACCTCGTGAATGAGATCTTGGGGAGATAAATTTGATAGACAATAACACAGCAGGCTGCAGTAGCCACAGTTCATATGTGGGGCTTTGTACTACCGTTTTCTTTACTTCCATCCATTCCCACTTGTTTCTTTGTAGAGAAACTGTGAAAATGCTCATCCTTTCCTTCCTCTTTATCTTCTAACATCAAATCAAACAGTAGTTATCCTGTCATTTTATTTATTGTTCACTATATCATTAGTTAATGCATAAAAAATTAGGAAACTTGACCATTTGACAAACCGTGAGTGTCTGAATACCTGTAATTTCAGTGCATAGAGAATTTTCCAATCTAGTTTTTAGATGTATTCACATTTTAGTTTCTGTATCCTGGTGGTTTGGGTGATAGGGTTTAATCTAGAAAACATGATAAACAATGATCCAATTGAGTTGTGTTTCTCTGACTGACTGCTTCCTTCTTGGTCTGGGTTTTCATTTCTTGAACAGCGATAACAGACTGGATCCACATGTGTGTAGAACTAGTTGTCTTTTCTCATTCTTCTTTCTCTTTATTATCTTTTTTCGTCTACATGGTGAATCAACAAGATTGTAGTGATCTCCATTTGTGTTTATTTATTGTTCATTGGATTGTTGGTACATAAGTAAAAATTGAGTTTGACTGTCTTGATATGCTGTGAAAGCCAACAACTAGCAGTTCTAGTATGTAAATTAAAGCAAATCCTCACTTTTCATGTTTTGACATCCTCTTGGCTAAAGAGCTTATGGCGTGGTGGAACGTACTGAGGTCATGGTTCAGTTCTTAATGTAGAAAAGATAATTTAATAACATAAACAATAATCTTATTGAGTTGCACTGATACTGTACTTGCTTCTTGTTTATCTTTTGCAACTTAAGCAATGATACTGATGCTGTAGCTCCATGTATTTACGGAGATTATTTATTTTTCTCTTATTTTAGATGGGGATAGCTGATGCTATTTTGGACCTTGTGAGCAGTGGAACAACTCTGAGAGAAAACAACTTGAAAGAAATTGAAGGGGGTGTGGTGTTGGAGAGCCAGGTAAGCTAACAAGTGCAGGTGGAGCTTACCAAGCATGTGATCTTGTAGGTTAGAAGTGGGTGATCATGCCACTGGTTTACATCATGCATTAAAAATTTCATTTGTTCTACAGGCTGTTCTTGTTGCTAGAAGAAAATCATTGATCCAACGGGAAGATGTGAGGGACATAACGAAAGAGATTCTTGAAAGGTTTGAGGCGCATTTGAGGGCAGTTGGTCAATTCACGGTGCGGATATAATGTCTCTCTAGTCCTATCCTCCCCTCCTCACACCCCTCCTCCCTCCCTAACACTGCACACACCCTCACACACGGAGAATATCTAATCCTATACCCCCACTACACGCACATACACACAGAACATATTTTGTTTTGACACTTTCATGGCAGGTGACTGCAAACATGAGAGGAAATAGTGCAGAGGAAGTTGCTGCTCGAGTACTGAGTCAACCATCTCTGTCTGGGTTGCAGGTGAGTTTTGGAACAATTGAATGCTCCTATCTTTAGTTTTCAGACAAAACAACCACGATGTGTTTCATTAGCATATCCCAAGTTTTTCTTTGACCAGTTTTCTCTCAGCCTTCACTCTAAAGCTTTTTTTGTTTGAGGGTTTATGGATATGGTAGGGGGTGGTTCCTCACCCCATCTAACCTTTGGCTGGGGGTCTCAACTGAAAATATTGCTGTAGGACTCAGAGCCAGAACCAAGGCTTCAGGCCAATAATCCTGATATACATGCTTCTTATCTAACTCCTGATTCTTTAAATTGCTAAATCGTATGCAACCTTTTCAATTGCAGGGACCTACTGTAAGTCCAGTTTTCTCCAAAAGTGATGGAAAGGTTGCACCTGATTTCTATGCCGTGGTCATATGTGTTCCCAAAAAGGCATTATACGAGTCCGTACAGCAACTTAGAGAGGTAAGTGCTGTAACCGTAGTAGAAGTATAAACTGTGACCCATAAACTGGGATCCTGTCTCTGTTTTTAATGTTAAAAGGAAGCGCTTGCTCTTGGGCCCACTATTTTTCTTGCCACTAGATACAAATTTAATCATGTCTTGTGCCAAATTGAAATCTTTTGGTCTCTTAAGTTAACCTCTTTGTTGATGGTATTTAACATAACTACTTTGTTTTGATGGTATTAAATAACTTTTGCTTTGACGGGAGCACATGACAGGTTTATTTATGGGTCATAGGCCCTTTCTGATCCCTTTTACATCATGGTTGGTTCAGGTGGAACCAACTCCAATATCTTGCATGTTTGAGTACATCTCTCTCCCTTCCTCACTCTTTCTCTCTCTTCCTCTCTATGATTATCACATGCTAGGTGAATTTCACATTATTGAATCCGTTGGTGTCCATTTGAACCACAGATTATCTCCAGTCTATTCTCCCCTCAAGGTTTTAGTATCTGATTCAGCGTTTTGACTGATAAGACTTTGAAGTGACTGATAGAACAATTCATGCGAAGCTCCTTTCAAATGCTCTTAGTAATTGGTAGACAGTCAAGACCTAGTTAATCTTATTGCTTGATCTATTTTGATGCAGATTGGAGGCAGCGGAGTTTTAGTTTCTCCTTTAACATACATTTTCGAGGAACTGACACCAAGATGGCAGGAGCTTGTTTCAAAACTGGAGCTACAAACACTCTGCAGCTAATGCTTGCTGTTTTAGTGTTCTACTGATTCTAGAGAAACTTCAGTGTTCCTAAAGGTCAATGGCATTAGGATATTTAGTAAATGGCGAAAGGTGGGGAGAAATTACTTTATGAGGGTCGAGCCAGAAACGTATGTATTCTTCGTGCTGTATAATTATGCAGTTCAAATCTTTGTTTCAGTTGAAATTTGTGTGAATTCAGGTGAAATTTGTGTGATTGTGTCACACCTGGTGCATTTCTTATAGCTTTCTGTGCGAGACCTTTTCAAGTTCATCTGTAAACATATTTCTAATTTAATTGGCTTTTTACCGTTTTTATGTACCGGACAACGTTCTCTGATGCTGCAGTCATGATGAGAAAATGGCAATTGCGAATCATCCTGTGGTCCTTGACAAGGGTCTGGGTTACAGGTACTGTTTTGTAATTTCAGCTAATGAAATATTAACAATTAACGAAATAAAATAAAAATAAAACAGAATGGTGTTTAACTATTCACACAGTATTCACTTGGACACAAATTACTATTCATTGCACTTTTCATCTAGAAATAATCACTATTTATTTATTAAATCATTTTAGAAATTTTTTATTGGTTTTGGAAGTTCTTATTATATAGTATTTTGATGTTTTGTACTGGTTTTGGAGTTTTTATTTGTTAGTATTTTGAAAGTTTTGGATTGCTTTGGAGAGGTTTTGTTGATTGTAATAGTTTGTGTTTGCATTTCAATTCTTATTTTTCATACCCTTAGAGTGTAAGTGATGATACTTTGATTTGTTGTAATCGAGAGATGAAAGAATTAAGGAGAGAATACCTTTTATGGTTAGGAAAGTTGTTGTTATTTACGTACTTGTGTTCAGTTTGGTTATAAGAGTTACTGGATGACGGTGATAAGTCTTGATATGATCGGAAAAAGATGTAATCTAAGAGGACCATGCTTGGTCCGCTTAGTATTATTTATTTATTTATTTATTATTATTATTATTGGAAGGCCAAGCGCTCAATCCTATCTTACTAAGCCCAAGAGCTTGAGCCTATCTTACCAATCCCAAGAGTGGACGGGCTTGGCTTCATAGCCCATGCCTAACTTTTTTCTATTTTTTAACTTCAAATTTGATTTCTTTTCAAATCGAATTATTAAAAAAAAATGTTTTGAGAAACATACATGTTGATAACATATTTTTAAAGTAAGATTAGAGTATTTTAATATTAATATATGCATATTATTTATGAAAAAAATTCCTTCAATTGAATATATTATTTTTTATAAAATATTAAACTAAGAGACTAAAATCCTAAGATATGATTATTTAAAAAAAAAAATCTATATCAAGCTTGAGATATATATTTGAAATTAATTTTTTTTCTATATTACTATAGTTTGAAATTTCTTGATCATGGTTAACCTATTGCATAAAAGTTAATTATTTGGCTATTGCATAAAATGTCTTTTTTTTTTAATACATTGAGCTTATTATTATTATTATTTTATTTTGAATTTAATAAAATTAAATATAGAAATGCACATAAATATATTATTAATTACAATTGAAATAAAACTTATTATAAATTATAAATATTTGACAAATATTATTTTTGTAGTAAAAATTATATTGAGTAAATCAATTTAAAAAATATATTACGAGTTAATAGTTTTTTTTTTTTTTAACTCTTCCTACAGACCATGTTCCAAATTAAAAAAAAAAAAAAGCACTCAGAAGGCTATGGATTCCATAATATATGATTTATCGATTTAGCGCTCCCTTTTTTTTCTTACCTTTCTTTATTTGTTTTTAATTTATTTTTGAATATTTTAAAATTAATTTTTATTTAAATACATTGATTAAAATAATATTTTAAAAACTCTAAATGATACCATGTTTTTCAAATAAGATTGTAAATTTTTGCTACTAATACTAATGATTATCTAATAAGTAATAATATATGAACCTAATGTGCATAATTTGAAAAAGAAATATTGGAATCCAAGAGGAATTAATTTGTTTATTCTATAAGAGTAAAATAATTAATTTATTATTTATTATTTTCTCATAGGTTTTAACCTTAATTATCATTTTATTTTATCATACAAAATTATAAAATTGAATAAAGAATACTTTTTTTTGTTTTTTATTGAAACTCACTTTTAAAATTATAATAAAAAATTAAAATATTAAGACAACTAAATCTTTGTTTTTTAAAAACGAAATGCATGCAAAGATTAATTAAATACAAAATTTTGATGAAAATTAAAAAATTATTTGAATTATTGACTTTATTTTTTTTAATTCAATAGAATAAAATTTTAAAAACACACATAAATATGTTATTAATTATAAGTAAAAAAAATTATTATTATTAATTATACATATTTTATAATTACTATTTTTTAAGTGAAAAAATGTTGAGAAATAAATTTTTTTAAAAATAAGAGTTTAGAAAATGCTTTTATTGATTTTTCAGCTCTCTTAACATACGTGTGACAAAATGAAAAAGAAAAAAAGAAAGAAAAAAAAGCACTCTAAATGTTATTGGTTCTTTAATATATGTGTGCAATTTGTCTATTTAATATGCAATTGAATCGTTTTATTTGAATATATTAATTTTTTAGAATTTAATTTTTAATTTGATTTCTAATGTGATTCATTTAAAAAAAAATTAAATAGGTTTTTTTATTTTTTAATGTCGAACTAGTAATAAACCAAAGTAAAGAGGTGTTTTTACTATTTAACAAATGTGACAGAGTTTACGACTATGCGAAAACGGTTTGACCGATAGAGTGGTTGGTACAGTGGACGGATGGTGCAATTACCCACGCTAAACCAATGATCTCCATAACTTATTAGACTATCCTACTATGGTTCGAAGTTTTTGAGTGAGGAGAGGGAGAAGCTCAAGCACATGAGAAAGGAGTTTATATTTCTATTTTGTACTTTAAATTATATGCACAAGATATACATTTATAGAAAATATTTTTTTATATGATAGAGAACTCTCTACGTATAATTCAAATATAATTTAAATATTAAATTTGAGTTTATCAACAAATAACTCGTATTTGTTTCTAGAAATATATATTAGGCTCTATTAGTGGACTCGATTCGAATGGTCCATAATGGACTAATCGAATTAGGCTAACTAAAGCAAATATTTCAACATTTCCTACTCGCACATGATGGTTACAAGCAAACTATCACTTCGGGACTCTCAAAAGTATAATGTCACTAAGATACCTCATATTAGGTTCATAATAGTTCATAAGTCATGCGACTAACGTACTAATAGACCTTGAGAATCTTATACCACACATTTATTAGGAATATGTGATGGTTCTTTTTGTATAAAATTTCATGTAGAGTAAGTATGCAATACTCCGGACTCACTATGTTGCATTAAGTATCTCATAATCTCTTGATCCGTATGGATCATGCTATCTACTCATAGCTATTTTACTAACATAATTGGTCGACCAATGAATACATGTAAATACAACATCAAAATGGTCTTACCCTTCTTATAAGAACTCTAATTTTTAAATTAGTCGCTTTGCTAGATATACTCCATTAGGTTGAATCAATCATGACTCGTTAACGACACATTAAGCTATTAGCACAAAGCTAAAAATTTGAGAACCACTCGAAAGTTAAAGTTAAAGGATATTATTGAGATTTATTAATCGCAGGACCTACACTTGCAAAGTAGAGATCAAAACTTTTCTTAACCCTATTCGAGTTGATTTTTAGCACAAGCAATATGAAACACTTACTACGATATTAACTCATTTTCTCATGAAGTGTATGTCTTTCTTACAATACCTCACAAGTAATAGTTCAAACAAATTCAATGTCTAACTTGGATTCACTAATCTACTTTTCTCAATAGGATCTTATCTCGCTTTAAAATAGATATTGTATAAATTTAGATATGTATACCCGAAGTCATTCTAATATAGAGTTAAAGTATCGATTGAGCATAAAGTTATACACTTCATGCTCGTAAAAAAGCTATAATTTGTAAATGGATTAGCTAACCTCTTACATGTAAAAATATACTTCATGCTAACTCTTTCTAACTAACCATTTACTTACTCATGACTTTTACTATCATATAGAACATAGATGTCATACCCAATACATAAACTAAAATATCTAGCACTAATAAAATAGCAATATGCAAGAGGTCCAAGTTTACATCTAAAAGTAAAATGTACACGATGAACTATCGAAAGTGATCCTTTGGTAATCAGCTCACAAGAAAACATTGCCATCTTTCTTACTTTTAATTCCTATATCATAAGAACTAAATGAGCGATTGCTCAATAAGTTAATTATGCATGATGTGTACGTATGCAAATGAAATGCACATGAAAAATCATTTTCATGTCTTTTCTAAAATTCTTGTTTCACGCTAAAAAATCCTTTCCATAGTTATTTTGAAAAATCTTTTTCTATGCTCGGATGCACCTTGTCGAGTATTAGAAGGTACACATTTGTACCCATCTAGCCATCTTTCCCGCATAATTCTCCTATGGGGTCATCTCCAATTTCCTTATAGTCGAAGCTAATATCAATTCCATCGATGAGAAATGTCATTTCCTTCCAATGGGGCTTGCCCCACATGTAGAATTTCTTTGGCCTTGGCCATTACCGGCTTGCCGATGAAGGAAATATCGGGGACCATGAAAACCATGAACCATGAAATCCTTTTTCCTTGTCTTTGAAAAATCAAGAAGAAAGCCTTTTCCCGATTTTTTTAGTATACCATCCTTACCTTTCTTTGTAACACATTCCAGATCATGGTACACAATTCATGAAGACAAACATTCATCTTGGTATATCAATCCACATTACATTAACAATGACATTTTAAACATTACGACATCGTACAAATATAGGCATCCATATACATCAATCGTCCATAATCATATGAAATCATGCCATAATCATCCATAACCACATAAAATCAAGCCATGTACTTCCAAGTGCACATAAATTTAATCCATCAATATTCATGGACCAAAAGCATTAAAACCCTAATTTTCACCCAACTTGGTCGAATATGTGCTTAATGCAATTAGGTGAAATTTTCAATTTTAATGCAAATTCTCAAACTAAATCATCTATTCACCCTTGGATAACACATAATCAATCCTCAAATCATCAAATAAACAAAACAATTAAAAACTCCTAAATTCTCTATTATGGTCGAAACTTTCAACAAGAAGAGGACAAGGAATTTTTCACTTTTCTTACTCAATTTCATGCCCAATTAACATATTCTAACATCAATTGCATGAATTTCCATGTCAAAACCCCTTTTTCTAATTTTTCCTAACTAAGAACCCTAACCCTAATTTGTGAAATTAATTCAATTAAACACAAATTTTCACAAATTAAGGACACAAAATCAACAATTAACATCAATTAGCATGTCCTTGTGATGTAGGTGAGATTAACTTACTTTGAGGTCTGTGTTTGTTTGGGGGAAAACAAGTTCCGGGAACTTTTTTTCTCATTTTTCGAGTGTTTGTTTCGCGTTTAGAAAAAAAGTCAATAGAAAATTTCCAATCAACGAAAAATGATAAAGTATTTTTGGAAAAATATTTTTTCAATTTAAAAATTTCAAGAATGTAAGTTTTTGTAAAAAAATTAAAATTAATTAATTAATTATTTATTTTTTTGATACTATTCATTTGTAAATAAATCAATAATTTATAATTTTAATCAATTATAAAATTTTGTTGGTAATTGTAGTGAATAATTAGTTACAAATTATTCCAACACTAATTTTTTTGAAACCAAATGAATAATTATCTACAAATGATAACTAATAATTTATATAATTATTTTTTAGACTAAATTATAGTTCAATTTATAAAAAAAAAAAGAATTTTTAATTGAGTTACCAAAATAACAATGCTAGGATTACTTAGAATTTTTTTTTTTTTACTAAATGTGAATATTGACTTGATTTTATCCTAAGTAATTTTGATGAATTGGTTTGATGGTTAAAAAAGTATTCTTAAAGCTTGTTGATGTAATAATCATATATTTTTTTTGTATTTTAATTTTTTGTATTAAACAAGAGTTGAAATATATTTTTCGATAGTTTTTCCATATAATTGCAAAACGACAAAAAATATTTTTTTGAAAAATAGCTTCCTCGGGAATTGATTTTCTTATGGAAGTTGTTTTCCACCAAACAAACGGAGCTCGAAAGCTCCAAATTAATCCATGGTAAGTTGGTTTTCCTTTGAAATCCCCCCTTTTTTCTCCTTAAGTTTCGGCCAAGAGATAATTTTTCCCTCTTGAATTTCTTGATATTCCAATCATAATTTTAGGTTTAATTAAGTGTTTTAAGTGTTTAGGTAAATTTAGTTTAGGATTTTCTAGGAAAATTTTGTAAGAGTTTTGCATTGATTTTCCAATTTTCTAACATTTTTCTCCTGTCTTTCCTGCCCATATTTATAACGAGGTTGGTTGGACTTTTCTTGTTTTGACTTGATCTCCACCCTTCTTTTGGTTAAATCTCTACCCCTGATTTACCTTTTAATCCTAGCCATCCATTTAGTTAAATGCTAGCCATTCATCTTTTTTTAAGTCTTAGCTCTCCATCTCATGGATTCCTAGCCATCCTTTTTTGTAGCCATCCATTTAGTTAAATGCTAGCCATTCATCTTTTTTTAAGTCTTAGCTCTCCATCTCATGCATTCCTAGCCATCCATTTTTGTAGTCAATTATTAAATTCATTAATTAAGGGGGAAAGGTGGCTGGAAAAGGTGAAAAGATTTGGCCAAAAGTGTTAATTTTAATACCTAGATTTATCATGTTTTTTCAATTATACCCCTAATTTTAGTCTTTCCAATTTTAATTGACTATTCCTTTGTCCTTCTTTCAAGCTTTTCTAACAACTTTTTGCCTCCTCAAATTCATTTATAATTTTATTTAAAAGTTCAAGCTTTTAATTTTATACAATTGGGTTTCTAATTCCATGCAATTGGGGCTCTAGGTATGTATAATTTATTCCACACCTTTACAAAAATTAATTTCTTTCCATAATAAATTTTAAACACTTCCTATATTAATTTATTCATCATTCACATAATTTTTATAAACATATTTAAGCTCCCAAATTAATTAATTTGCGTAAAAATGCACTTATTCCTACAAAAAATATTCCCTACGCATATGAAAATTCACTTAAGTACATGAAATATCCATACACCTCTTTAGTAATTTTTCTATGCTCATAGGATAATTTTCTTACACATTTAAAAGACTTAAAATAATTAATTTATATAGAAAGTACTATTCATACATCGAAAAGCCAAATAAAATATTCATTAACAAAAAAAAATTCATCCAAATGCACGAAATATTCTAGCACTCCTCTAACAAATATTTTATACACACAAAATGCTTTTCACATATATTTAATATGTATTAATTTTTTTATTTTTAGGTTCGAGGTATTACAACTTTTGATTCTTGAAAGTAGTGAATTAAATAATTGATGGTCATATGAGACAAGTCATATTTATTTTTAACAAGAATAGCTTGATGGTTGGTTCTTTGAGATAAACAAATTGTTGAAAGATGTTGAACGGTAGAGTGAGACAAACAAATTGTTGAAAGATGTTGAACGGTAGAGTGAGATAAACAAATTGTTGAAAGATCTTGAACGGTAGAGTGTTAGGATGTAGAGGTGAGTTGACGTAGACTCGCATAATTTGGACATGTTTAATTTTTTGTTGCTTTTGGTTTAACTAGTGATTACATCAACAAGTTAGCATGACATAAAGATTGGTAGATTTTATAAATCTTATTTATGCCGAAAATTTTTGGTAAAAGAAAGAATTGAGTCCATATTGTTGGTTCAAGTCACCGGCTCTTCTACTAGAACATTCTGCATTATGATTCACATAATATATAAGCTTATATTTTTTAATTTAATATTTTAAAAAACTTATCATGATTCCTTATATATTCCTTATCTCTTCCAATTTAACATTTAAAAGCTTGTCATAGTTCCTTCAAGGGTATCTCTAGCATCAATTTTGTTTCTCTTGAATATTTTCAATAACCAATTTTTATTTAGAAATCCACCATTGAAAATATTCTAGTAGCTAAAACAATAGGACCGTTACTTAAGAATTTTCTATATTGCTCAATATTCTCAATAAAATTTGTTACAACAACATCTGTGAACTACAAAAATGCTTCATGTTAAAAAAAAAAAAACTTGTAACAACAAGAATGGCTTAAATTTTTTTATTCTTTAATAATTAGGTAAATATACCCATCTTTTTTTATATAATACTCAAAATTTTTCTATTTGTCCCTAAGTTTTTAATTGCATTTCATATTTTGAAATATTCAATTTGTCTTTCAGATTAATTTTTTTTGATTGTGGATAATTTTTTTTGATTGAAAAACCATTTACTAAAATAATAATAATAAAAAATCTTAATGACGCACATGTTTTATTTTTTAAGTTTTTAGAATTTTTTTCTTTTGCATTTCATTCGGAGAATTTCGGAAAAAAAATAAAAAAAATTATATGGTTGAAAAAATTGATCGAAGGACAAATTGAATATTTCAAAAATTTTCAAAAACATATGGGATGCAATTGAAAACTTAGAGATATATGAAAGACTTTATGTATTATATAAGGACATACGAATATATTTATCATTAATGATTTATTGTTGAATACCAAATAAAATAAAATATGTTGTTCACCCAACAAGGAGGGTCCCTGGTCTTGAATATTAAAAAAAATATGTTTTTATCATTTACCATGCAAGAATGTAATTAAATATCAAAATTTATATGATTTTGTTATTGTTTTACCAATATGTCTTTCGCGAGCATAACACGAGCAACAAACAAGTTATTTACTAAATAAGCGATGAAACAGTACTGTAATGATCTTTCTGATTGAGTTTGATTTTATCATTCTGATCAAAATACAAATGGAATGTTTCTTTTCGAAAAGGAGGATAAAAGAAAGAAAGAAAAGATTGTTGTGAATATAAATTAAAAGGAATAAAATAGTTAGAAATTTTGTGATTTTAAGAAAGGGGAGACGACCTAAGAAATTTAAGGCCTTTTGGCCCAAATTAAGGGCGGCCCGGCCAGTCAAAAGCGATGGTATAGAATGCTAGCGCCACACTGAGACTCACTATAAAATGTCTCATTTGCCACCTATCTCTTATCACGCAAAAAAAAAAAAACCCTAGGAGTCGTCCTCTCTCAGTCCCTAAGCTGCCAAGCATGGTGAGTCTGTTAGATCTCATCTCCACCGCCACCTACATCAACCAAACACTATCTGTTGTAAGAAACTCCTCTTTCTGTTTTCTTGTTTTCATGATCTTTTTGTTTTTGAATTGTGCAGACATTCAAGCGTAGGAATGGAGGACGCAATAAGCACGGCCGTGGACACGTCAAGTTCATCCGCTGCTCCAACTGCGGCAAATGCTGTCCCAAGGTACCGTGTTTTCTTTCTCTTTGCTCTATAAATCAATACTTTTAGAAAGATGTTGATTAATTTGTTTATTAAATTTGGGTTTTGATGAATAATAAAAGGACAAGGCAATTAAGAGGTTTCTCGTGAGGAACATTGTGGAGCAAGCCGCCGTTAGGGATGTTCAAGAGTCTTGTGTTTATGATGGTAAATAAGTAACTAAACTAGTTTTTAATTTTGTTTTATTATGTTTTATTTGGTTATTGATTTTTGTTTTTGAATGCATGTTGTGGTATTAGGCTATGTCTTGCCAAAACTTTACGTCAAGATGCAGTACTGTGTCTCTTGTGCTATTCACTCCCGTGTTGTGAGGGTCCGCTCCCGCTCTGAGCGCAGGAACAGAGAGCCTCCACAGCGTTTCCTTAGACGCAGGGTACCTATTCTTGATTTCTTCTCTTAATTGTTAATTAATGTTTATCTTATTAATGTTTATATTGCAGTTGAGTATACAATCAGTTACCTTCTTTTGTTTGATTTAATGTTTAGATATTTGATGGTTTGCTTCTTGTTGATGCTTGATGCTTGTCAAGTTGTCAGTCATGATTGAATTTAAGTTCTCATGTGCAACTAAATTGCTATGTAGTATATTACAATGGGCAAGTCATGGTATATATGACCCCAGGTTTTATATTCATGGATTTGCAAATTCTTTTCATTTTTAAGATAATTTACTTTGTTTTTGAATCCAAGTTTTTGTGTCCTGTTTGTCTGTTGGGTTTGTAATTCTTGGTAATGAATCTTTAAGTCATTTGGTCTGGATTCACAACTTTCCTGTGGCTGCCTTTTTGTCTCAGTCCTAATTGTTCTGTCGGTTTGAAGTTTTACTTATTGGCTCTTCTTATCTTCCATATGTCAGGATGACATGCCAAAGCCTGGTCAGCCTGGTCAAGCTCCTCGTCTTGCTGGGGCAGCTGCTGCTCGTACCTAGAAAATTTGATTCATGTTGCTGTTTTTTCCATGTTTACTGAATATTCCTTACCTAGTTTTTTTTTACTTGAACTAGCTGTTTTTTGACACTCCAGTTGAAGACTATAATCTTTAAATTGCCTGAATTTGTGCCAATTTCATCATGGATATACTGGTAATCTTTCTCTTTTCTCAACTTGGGCGCCATCTGATGCTCGAATGTGGTAGCCTAAAGTGTACTGGATTTTTTATGATCCTCTGAGTGAAGAAGGCAAAGGCATTCTCTGGTTAAGTGCTTTGCTTATGTAGTCACTAGTTGGATTTGTGACATTCACTGTAGTGGGTTAGTGCGTCACTAGTTGGATTTGTACAAGATTAAACTATGAGCAGTAATGCTTTAGCAACTTGTCAGTGGAAATGTACAAACTGGTGTGTAATCTGGTAGGGAATCACGACAAAACCTAGCCTAAACCTAGCCTGAATCTTAGAACGTAACATCAAAAAACGGTTGGGATTTGTTTGTTTAATTCTCTCCCTTTTTGTTCTGTCCATATTAAAACTTTTGGGCTTAGATGGTAATATGTGATGGCTCCCTCGCAGTCTATATTCTGTACGAGTTCGAATGATTTTATGTTAGTGTTTGAGATGATAAAGGCATAGCTTTAACGCGACCTTTCCTGGCAATCCTACTGAACTGAACGCAGACTACAGTTGAAGGGGCTTCATAGCTATTTTTGGGTAGGTTTTTTTCAGAGGACGGAATTCTTAGGATGGAAAATTCGCTCTTTCTGTAACCTTTTTCATCTTCCTTCAACTTAAAATCCATCATTTCTTTTTGCTGGGACCTTACCTTTAGCGTCTAGTAATACATATTGGTGTTGGTTTCTATGCCAATAGCATAACCAATACTCCATAAACAAGTCTGCATTATATCAAACTCCAAGCTGGTTTCAATCGATTAGATCCATTTACAACCTCGCATATTGGAGGTGACAACGCATATGCGGTGGTTGTAGCACTTTAAATCTTCAATGTTAACCTAATTCTTCATTCCTCACACGCATACCGACAACGTATTTGGAGTGGTTATAGCAGTTCCAAGATCGAGACTCTGTAAGAATCAACCTTACCATTCTCCTAATGAGCGACACCAATGTTCTACTCCAACAGCAAGTATGCTTGCTCCAAAATTATTTTACAGCAGAACTTTCAACACCCTGCAGTTCCTTAGAAATCCTGATGCATCCTGACATGGGACAGTTTGTCTTGATTGCATTTGAAGCTATGTGTGACCTACTTGTAGCATATCCCTCCTGAAACAGCCAAAGCCATACAAGCTGTGAGTCATCACAAATAATCTATCAGGAATAGAGATGTTATTAATGTCATTTTTGTTAGGAAACGAATCAAACAAAAAATAAAGTAAAAAGACAATAGCAATCACAACACAAGATTTACAGGGTTTGGTAATATGCCTACTCTACAGTTGCACTAGGAGTTCTTATTAGGTTTTTCAACTAGCTAAAATAAAAGAGAGAGTGTACATATTTAGAATGTGGACAACTAGGGTTATCGTAAAAAGGTTTAAGGTCTATACAACTAGCCCAAGATTCCATAGACCTTTTGCACTAAACTACGAACCACATCCACATCATTCTTTATAACTTATAACTTAACAATTCTGAGATCTGATTGAGCTATCACAACTCCAGGGCAGTTGAATCCCACATACCTGGACGCATAATTAAAATAAAAATATAAAAGCAATTCTACGTACTCAGGAACACTATGGAATTGCAAGACAATATAAAATTTAAAAGATGCATAGAAAACATGCTCTTCGCTTATACTGTTTTGAAGTCTATCCCTAGCAGCTGTTCCATGATTAGGATCTAAAAGAGATAAAAGCATGTAAAATGAATGCTCTAATGTCCCATCATTGTTCCTAGTCCTTAGTTGATCACGGTAAAATGTACCCAAGGAGGAGAAGCATACCTTCTGCATGGCACTCATCATGGTCCTTAGTGGAGGAGAATTGATTTTGGCACGGCTTGCCACCTGAAACCATTAAATAGATGACAAATCTTCGTTACAATTTGTATATATATGTACACACACACACACATCTGAGTACAATGAGACAAAGAGACCAAAGTAGAAGAAATTTGCGAAAAGACCTCATCCATCTTGATGTATCCAGATTTTAATTTGGGATCGCTTTCATCCAACATTTGTTTCAGAAGTTTTTCCAGGTCAGTTTCTGAACCATTTCCTATCCATCCCCATTCTTCAGCCAAATTTATCATTTCACTGATGTAGGCAGCACTATGAAGAGGTCCTGTCCATAGCGGCCCTGAAACAACAAGTGACCTATGACCCTGGTAAAAACCTGAGAAGATTTAGCATATATCGTAACTATAAATTGTTGGAAAAATACTCTTTGAGTGTGTTATGTCATGCACTGCTGAGAACGGTGAGCAAGAGATTGTAGCAGAAGAGAGGAAGATAAGTGAAAGAAGTTGGAGGGAAAAAGTTCAAACAATGTGTTGCGACGAGAGTTGTAGATGAAAATTTACCTGTGATCCACTGCAAGGGCAAGTAATCCGACCAAGTTCATCCCATGAAAATTCTTGTGAATCTCCACACTGGTTGCAGTAAGTGATGAAACCATAATGCCTGACATTAAAGGTAAAGTCATTTGTAATTAAAAATACCAATAACAAGGTAGAAAATTGAACTCGTAAAGCTGTAGCATAGCAATGAACAGAAAGATCACCTGTTTTCAAGTAGCTTCCCTCGATTTACTCTGAGCATGACCCTAAAAACTGGTCCATGATATGAGTAATATGAAAAAAGTGGTGTGACATAATAGCCAAGCACAGATGCTTCCCGTACAGCCCCACCTATAAGCATTCGCAAACCAACCTCATTCGAATATGGCATAGGGCGTACATATGCTCCATAGGCAGCTAGAGAACTAGACACAGAAATACACAAATCATAACCATCCTACTTGAGGCTGTAAGCAAGTTACAAACTTATTCAACCATAACCAATAAAGCAACCAATTTAGAGAATCAATGGCCACAGAAAGAAACCACATAAACTATTAATGCAATTTTCACTAATTAAAAAAAAGAGATTTTCAAAATACAATGAACAAACAAACAATAAGACATATTTTCCAGGTTCAAGGAGACTAGTAACCAAATTCAATGAACAAACAAACAATAAGACATAGTACTAGGTAATAATTTTAAGTTTTAACAAACAATGTAATTCACTCTATCTTTAACTCAACTGAACTAAACCTCACTTTGTACAAGTAGTTGATGTTATAAAAAGAAGTAACGTTGCTTGAAATGCAGTTCAAACACTCACTGATCTGGACGGTGACCGCCTGAAGAGTAGCCATCAGTGGAAGTAACATAAAGCAATCCATCAAAACTCAAAGTGCTCATTGCAGACCTCAAAAACAAGGAAATATCACTCCCAAACGAATCGATATCAATCAAATCAAAAAAATCCTTCAGCAAGTAACACTCACTCAATACTCTGTTAGCATCTAAATGTGTAACAACCCATTTTCTCTCATCCCCACTACTCCTATCTACTTTCTTCAAATTCTCTAAAATAACCCTCCTATGCTCATCATTAGCATCATTTGCCAACACAAAATCTGCTTTCGCTTCGAGTAAGTAGCGCAAGGACCGGATTCCACACCCGCACATTGCGTCAAGCACCCGCAATTTTCCTTTTGATTGCTTGTAGAGGGATGCTGCTAAGACCCCCAAGTCTCTGCCTTTAGCACTTTCATGGCGAAAGAAGGTCTCTCCGGTCTCAAATTCGAGACCCCTTTCGCTTTGAAGCTCAGATTTGGAGCGAATTCCATTAATTTGTGGATTATAGCGTTGAATTTTGGGGCTGGGTTTAGGGTTTTGGTTTTGGGGTTTGTGGATAAATGGGGAATGGGACAGGGTTTTAGGGGAGAGAGATAACATGGCGGGAAATGCGTTTGGGTTCGGTAGTTTTTCTCGTAGTGGGGTTTTTATATATATATATATATATATATGAATGAGGAAAAAAAAGACGGTGTATAGATGAACGGTCCAGATATCTTTTGAACTAACGATGTAAACCCCACCAAGATTTTGGCACGTCATCGTTAATCTTCCCTACTTTTGGAACCTCTGGGCAGCAGCATCATTTTGTGGTTTAGGGGTTGTCTATAAGTCTTGGTTTCAGACAGGGAACTGAAAGTTTAGGCTTGCCTTGCAGTTGTGTAAGGTATTTCTGGGTCGCTGCAGAGATGATCTGCCTTTTGTACTACATGCATGAGTGCAGCAGCAGCAGTGAGAACAGAAAATATTTTGAAGGTAGTCAAAGCAATAGGGCAAAGCAAAAGAGAAGAAAGAAGCAATTTTGGGTCTTACTAAGGTGAACTTCTTCCAAGTTTTTAAGGTCTTTCTGCTTCTGCTTGAAGTATTAATATAGTGTAACAGATAGGGAGGGAATACAGACATCTGGGTTTATCATTTGACTGCTTAACTAATTGGTTTTGTTAGAGAATTTAGAATTTAAGTTGCATTTCCTATTTACCAGTAGCTTTTACTTGGAATATATTGTGTTTCCTATTTGGTGCAATTTGCTTTAGTTTTCCTTTTTAAAAATTCATTCCTGATGCGGTTTTAGGGTCTATTAGATTTTGGTGATAGCATGAGAGCAGTTCTTTTCTTGTCCTGTTTTCTTTTACATTTTTTCTCTCCTCTCCTCCCCATTTTGCTTCTTGTCTCGAATCAGTAAATCGTGAATGTCAGTACCCACATTGTCACTTGGACTTCTGGACTCTAAGTCTAAGCCGGTATAGAAGAGTTTGGCCTGGGTGGTTGGTTCTTAAAGATGGGATTGATCATCAAACAGGTCGCATAGTTGCTGTGTGGAGGAACCATTCCAGCATGATAATTTGTGAATTTAAGAAGCAATGAATAATAATCATAATAGGTCTTCAATAGAATTGCAGAAGACGCGTCACCCGACCTGAGGTTGCACCATCAGGTTTGCTTACTTTTTAAAAAGTACAGTGGGATATTTGTTCAAGTTGGTTACGAACGTTCTATGCAATTATATCAATTTTTGATCGAAGGACATTATGTAGTTGAGCTTAGCAAAGCCTGCTACTAGAGCTTGAAACTAAGCCAACCATTTCTGCTAGACCTTTCCATTGACAAACATTTGAAAGGTAGAACTTGGAATGCTTGCTAGCCAAGGAGGAGGTTATCTTGTTCTCATTAAAATCTTCACCATGTAGTTTTTGTCATGTCTTCATCTACATAAAGTGACCTCTCTCTCTCTCTCTCTCTCTCTCTCTCTCTCTTTCAAACAATTGGGTACCTGTGTCCTTTCGGAGCACCACACCTATTCCTCCATAGCTTGAGACTAGCTGCACCCGGCCACACTAGTCCTTGGGTTGACGAGCCAACCTTGTTTTTAGATAAACTAACTTCTGTTGCATGACTCAGTTACTTGTGCCTAACTCATGTCATTGAGGATGGAGATTTGTGTCAAGATTCTAGGTTCAATTACATAATGGTCTTCATTGCACAGAGTGAGCCGATTTGCCTTGTAACTGACAAGGCCACATACAAGCTCACAATGTAATTTAGGACTGTTTTATCAAACCACAAAGCCCTTCCTTGATTTCTCCTGTCAGATTAAGAAGGAGGGCCTTCTTACTATCATGTGTCTGGATGTCATAAATAGGCATCCTCACACTGTTAGGTTTGAAGGATGGTCAAATTATCGAAGTTCACAAATTTATCTACTATACTCAGGATGGCCTCCCCTGAAAACTAGGTACTGTATTGGAAAGACGCATAATCGTTTTACAAGGAAACACTCTGTTTTGTTTGGTTCCTGTGATACTTTGGTGGATGTCTCCTGGGTATGTGGTTACTTGTATTCAAAATATCCAATATTTGTGTCTATGTTGTGACTTTATGAATAAGGTCCTAGCAGCATACCTTGCAGGTCATCCTGAGATACTTGGGCTATTCATTGAGCTCAAATACATCTGCCTCTGATTTCTTATAGCCTCTTGTTTTGGTCACAGATATTAGTTAATTCCAGGAGCGCTAAATGATATTGCACATTCTCAAACATCTCATATACTTCCATAATTTTCTGTTATGCTAGTATCTGATATTTAACCAAAAAAGGCCAGAAAATTAAGTGAGTCAATTAATACTGCATCTCTATGCAATAAATGCAATTAATAGGTGATATCTGGGAAGATGTCGAAACATTTAGCCAAAGGGATTCACCAATATACCAATTGCATAATTTGGACTACAAAAATAGGGATTAGGTGAGGTGTAATTAGAAGTGGATAAAAATTGATTTTTTGTCCATACTAAATGCGTTATATGCAAATATGGAAAGTACACAACTTTAGTATTATAACCTTCTTACATTCTGTGTTGGCCCATTAATGAAGAAGAAGCCACTTTGTCAAGAGAATCTCGGCAAATTTATGACAGGCATGACTCCTTTTTTGGCTGTGAAGCCTGACTCAAGTATTTTACATTTGGATAGCAGGAGACCCCTCAACAACAAGATTTTTTCTATCTTTTCCTTATTTTATCTCTTTGACATTGTTAATTTCACTTATGCTTGTTTACTAATCCACCTTTGGAGCTTCCCTTCAAGTTGAAAAGAAAGGGAGAGGGGTGGAAGCAGGAACGATTTTCTTGTTATTATCACCTCTGTGCTCATCACTTACTTCATTCCATATTTGGAGAGACCAATTGTTTTCCTTGATAGTGCAATCTTATTTATTTTAGTGTTCTAATCTCAAATCCTGACCCTTTTTCTTACTGTACTAGAGTATGCTCCAGTTTTTAGATAAATTGCAGGTTATTTATTTATTATTATTTTTTTTATGGTTGTTCCTGATTTTTCACTAATTTAGAACCTTGTCTTCCCTGTTCATATAAGAAGGCTTGTGAAAATTTTTCAGAAAATGAAATGAAGTGCCACAGCCTGCAGCTGATGTGAAAGTACCTTCAACTTCTCCTGAAGCATTTAAATTGTTGGTTTTCTTCTCAGCTTGGTGCCAATTTCATGTTTAGTTGGTTTATTTTTAATACCCTTAGGGTTTTCCCCTTCTCTACTCACCATGGATTCCCTAATCTTTTATTAATACTGGTTTTTACGAATCCATATATTTTCTGCTAAGAACATCTATCCTTTTTGTATTTGAAAATTTTCTTATTTTTAACTTTCAACATTTTGCAGTACTGATTATTTGTAGTCAGATTTGAAATTGTCAATGTGGCATTGCATTGGTGAGTGTTCTTAGGCTGCTCTTCCTGGAACAGAAACATCTATCTCATGACTTGGGATATGGGAAATTTTCAAAGGAGTTTTTCTCCTTCCTCCTTTTCCACCTCTTCCTCCTCTTCGCTTGGTCCAAACCCATTGCAATTTGATTCGGAACTATGGCAAATGGCTGAGGAAAGGACCCAAGAGATACTATATACCATTCAACCCACTTTCGCTTCTGAGCAGAAACGGAAGGAAGTCATCGGTTATATTCAGAGTTTAATTAAGGGTCATTTTGCAGTTGAGGTGAGATTCGTCCACCGCCCTTTGTAGACGTTTCTCTTTTTGGAAGAAATGTTGTATAAAGGAGTTTCCTTTTTTTTTTTTTTTTTCTTTTGATGTATTATCCCACCATTTATTGTAAAAGCGTAGATGTGGAAATTTGTGCTTCCCGCCTTCAAGGGTTTGCATAATGTGGATCTTTCTCATTAGTACGTACCATCGTGTGCCTGCCAGAAGTTTGTTTAAATGCTTTCTTATTGAAATAGCAAATAAACTAATTTATGACATGGGCATTCTCATTTGAGACTACTCTCTACTTTTAGTGTTGGAACCATGAGAATTTGAACTGCAACAGTTTATTGGTGGGCTCATCTCAAGTTATTCATCTGTAGGATGAATTTTTTGGTTTCTCTTAGGTTTGTTTGGTTTCTTTATGAAGAACTCATCTATTTTCCAAAAAGCAGAGATCTCTTGCTGGTCAATTTGCACTTCTTTTTTTTTTTTTTTTTTTTTCCTGCAGGAAAAAAAACTAGCATGTTCGCACATATCATCATATAGCTTGCTGTTCTAGCCTGACTGGATGTTGCGAAAAATGTTTAGCATGAAAATATAGGAGTCATCTTTATGTGTCTACCTTTTGAATTTCAGGCTAACTAGCCTTGTGAAGTGTTTCAGGTAGAGTTGCTTGATCTTGTCAGAAATGCCATTTAGTTGGACACTTATTCTTGGTGTCTGAAAGTCGATGCCTTCATGTACACTTGCATGATCCTTCATGTGGATCTGAAATTTTAATGCATCAATGTGTGCAGATATGCAAGATTTTTATTCATGACTGCTTTTTCTTGTTTTCGACTTTTGACAGCAATTTTGTATCAAAAGCTTTGCCGAGAAGGATAAATAACCATAGCATCCACTCTTGTGGAGGGATATTCCCTGAAGTTGAATTAACATCAACTTATCTTGCACTGACATGCTATTTTTACAGGTCTTTCCATTTGGTTCAGTCCCACTGAAAACCTATCTTCCAGATGGAGATATTGATCTGATGACCCTCAGCCATCAAAGCATGGAGGAAGATTTGGCCAGGGATGTCTGCACTCTCCTCCAATGTGAAGAGCAGGACCCTGAGTTCCAAGTAAATGATGTCCAATATATTCAAGCTCAGGTTAATTTTTTTCAACTCCAACACCTTCTTTAAAAGTGATGACTTTTGTGCTCTAGTCAAATATTAAGATGGCACTTGGACCCATAAACATATCCCTCAGCACATTATTTAAGTTGTTTTTCATTTTCTGTTCTTTCAATTACTCCACAGTGAGCTTTTATTTTTATTTTTATTTTATTTATTGTTGTTGTGTGTGTCCGAAAGCTGAATAAAGATTACGACTTATCCTTCCTTATCTATCTAACCATCAAGTACAACAATGAGCTTGATGATGTACTTGCAAGCTGCTACTGTAAATTATGATGGTACTTATTTAGGTGGTTGATAAATTCTCTTCACAATATTTTACTTCCAATTACTTCTAGATACTCCAAGAATAAGGGCTATGATTTATAGTATGCTTATCTACACCGAAAACTGCAGTGCAATCTTATTCATCATTTATTGACAAGATGTGGATGTAATAACATCCAACACCTCTTGGAAAACTTATGAAAGAGCTTGTATTTACCTTTTCCAAGATCATATAAACCAAGCATAATATGCTTTCTTGTTTTGGAATTTTGTGCATGCAATTGTTGCTTTTTTTTTCATTGATTAAGTTTCTAAAATTTCCTTGCATCCGAAGAGAATTCATCTGACAACTTATTTGCCCATCATAATAAATTTACCAGCACAATACACATGCACACAAGTTCATGTGCATGTATTCTGTGTGTGCATGCGCACATGTGCATATATGTTGTGTTTAGTTTTAGGAGTAGATGTTTGTGAGGCTGCAAGCTTTTGTCACAATGTTAAATGATCCCTCAGCATAATGGTTTGAGGTTGTCAGCTTCATTTACCAAGTAAAATTCTGAAAAGCATATCTCTTGAATCTCGGCAAATGATACAGCCTTGTTTCTGCCAATATTAACTATAATATCACTACTATTGGCACCTTTACCCTCCACGCCCTATTCATCCCAATTTTCATGTATCATTTCATGTGTGATAAGAAGATGAGTGGAGCCTCATTCAATTTCATAGAGACAAGGGAAGGATGCATAGTTGTCATAAACCTAGTGGATAGTCGGTGAATTTATAGCAATCCATTTTCTTTTTTTATTTTGTTGAAGATTCGGCAGAAGTGAACGAGAAAACTGGAATTCCATAAGCTGTTCACTCCAACATGTTCAACATCAAATTTCTAAATCCGATTCCTAATTTGGTAGCTGGTAAAACAAGAAAGAATTTATTATAGCCTGAGTTCTGGCTATAATGGAGTTTCAAGGTTTCTGCTACTATACAATTACTTGAAAATGTAAAACAAAAGAATTTCAGTTGATGTTGACAACTTCTTAGTCTTTGGAGCTATTACTGATAGGTAATCCATTCAAAAGTCGAGGAAACTTCTTCCTATACAACTTTGTCAGCATACTTAATGAAGTTTGCAAGAAACATGACACAATTTGGACTTTTCTCTGAGACTAGTTTTTAGCCATCATCAAATACTTTAGATATCTAATTGAAATGTGAGTTATATATTAGTTGGGTCAAAATCAGAGGTACAATAAATCCTTTCACTCCTAGTGATTTTCAATTTGAAACTCCATTCCAAAATGTGGAACGTTTTCATTTTGAAACATTAATTTGAGGGAAAAAACTATTCCAAAATAAAAGACAATAATCTTGTCCTTTGATTGCATGTATAAGAAACCTTCAGGCTAGAGTAACCTAATTTCTAGTAATTTAGTTGCTAGCATTCTTTTAATCAAGGTGGTGTTTGGAAACAAGTTATGGAACTAAATCATATTGTTATATGATTTTGAAATGACTTTTGATGATCTGCATGACCATGCTAAATTTGTCCTTATAATCAAATGAGTACGCATTTTGTACTTTGTTCCATTTTAAGCGGCACACTGCGCTTGTTTGTTATCCTGTTCTAGTTACCATATCAAATCGACTGAAGGCTCTATTTCATGCAATAGTTTCACGTTCAGATAAAAAATTATCACTGCTGCACATAACTTGTACTGGCAATTGTTTTTGCTTTTTTGGAAATGCATCCTTTTTGAATTCAATTGTCTACAATTACCATGCTCCATTAGATTTAGATAAGTAGAAACTGTTTCTAATGTTTCTTTTTTATTTGAGCGAATAAAAACATAAATCATTATTTCAACTATTTTGTTTTGTGAATGAGAGTCTTCTCTATGGTCCTCCCTTAATCGTACATGAAGAATGTCTAACAATTTTCTGAATCAAAGCGGAGCTATTTTCTTGTGTATGTTGCTTCAATGTTGGGAATTTGGATGGCAGGTTAAGGTCATAAAATGTTCGGTGAAGAATATTGCCGTTGACATCTCTTTCAATCGAATGGGAGGTCCCTCTGCCTTGTGCTTTTTAGAGCAGGTATGATCCTACATTATCCCTCAGTTCCAGAATCCCTAAGCAACTTGCTTTCTTCTATAAATATGCTAGCCATCTGGCACATGTAACATAAATGTGGGTCCTTTCTGCCTAGTATACCTCAAGTATATTACATTCCTGCTTTATTTTGACAGCGTTGAAACTCCTGTGAATATATATGAGAATGGCTTAGAAAAAAAAGATCAAGACTTATTTTTTTCCTCTTTTTAAGATTGGCATTGTGGTTAGATGCTCCTCCTCACAATAGTTATCTTTTTTATTCTTGTTTCTTTTTGTCTTTGTACATTTCATCTCTTAGTATTATCATCTGGTTGGAGATTTGGATGTTTCCTTTTCCATTATCCACATTCCTTTTTGTGCCTTTACCTTTTCTTCTTTATTGGCATAAGAACTCTTCTACATTTCTGTAAAATGACCTTTTCATTCTTCTTAAATTGTTTCTCGGCTTTTATTGACCAACCCAATGGGTGAGCTTCTAAAATTAGCTCTTTTTTTTTTTTTTTTCCTGTGTGTGTGTGGGTGTGTGGCTTCTTGCAAATCTTTGCTCCATCCATTAAGTGAGACATCTCTCTCTCTCTCTCTCTCTCTCTCTCTCTCTGTGCCTATTTGAATTTAGTCTCCACTTTCAACATAAAAGCCAATTACATATTTGCTTCTCTGACGCTAATCGTTTTTCAGGTTGACCAACTTATTGGGCGAGATCATCTTTTCAAACGCAGCATTATCTTGATCAAAGCATGGTGTTTTTATGAGAGCCGAATTCTCGGTGCACACCATGGCTTGATCTCGACATATGCATTACAAATATTGGTTTTGAATATCATTAATAATTTCCATTCATCTCTACCTGGTCCTTTAGCAGTGAGTGCTTTTCATTCAGCGTTTCCTTTTTGCATCAGCAAATTCACAATTTAGCTAACTTTATGCTATGTTTACAGGTCCTCTACAAATTTTTGGACTATTATAGTGCCTTTGATTGGGAAAACTATTGTGCCAGTATAAATGGCCCCATTCCCTTATCATCCTTCCCACAAATGGGTGAGCATCTAAATGTGTTGGGATAGCATTCTATTTGTTTACTTGATTACGTAAGTTTCCCCTTTTTCTTTAACAGAGTCAACAGATAACAATTGGAATGAGTTGCTTCTCAGTCAGGAGTTTCTGAGGAACTTTAAAGATACGTTTGCATTTCTGATGAATGAACTCGAGACTGATGCCCATGAATTTCCCATTAAGCATCTCAACATAGTGGATCCTCTAAAGAGGAGCAACAACTTAGGACGTAGTGTTAACAAAGGTACATTTAACAATATACAAAGCAGCTGTTCTGGATGTTGTTTTAAAAATCTAGAGCGTAAGGACTTGAATATTGTATCTGTAAATTTTGGAGGCTCTGATTTTGGGGAATTTTATCTCTACTCCGTGGGGACTTGTCATGGTGACATGAAGGAGTAATTAGTAGCATGAATTGGATAGTATTATACACATTAATTCTGAAAATAGACAACTGGTTTGCACCTTGCAGTCATGAGATAAAAATAATTGTTGCACAATAAATGTTGTAATATAAATGTCCATGCTAGGGGAAGTAAGAAAGTCTCATGCTCTATTACATATTTCCCATCTTAAATAATATCTGTAAACGTAATAATATCAGATTCTTGGAATTATATTACTTGTCATATTTATATGCACCAAAGAGGTGGAATTAATTTCTGGATTTGTTCACATGTTTGGAGGGTATAGACACTGTATCTCTCGAGTAATTACTGGTATTGTAAATACTTAGCTGATGATGATCTATTTCTTACTAGGCAATTTTCATCGAATAAGAGGCGCCCTATCTTATGGGGCTCAAAGGCTTGCAGAAATAATTGCGTTGCCAGGAGAAGTAATGGGTGCTAGACTTGATAAGTTCTTTTCGAACACTTTGGAAAGAAATGGTAAGGGTCAAAGGCCAGATGCAGATGTTCCTGTCCCTGCATTTGGTACTGGAAGATCTGAGGCATCTGATCTCAGTGGAGACTGTGACAAGTATTACAGTGGTCTTCTACATGGCCAGTGCTATCACAATTATGCCCTGCCAGTACCTCAGCCTAGTCCTCCATCACCACCTTCACAAATCAAGCAGACAGGTGCTAGGGATGTGCTGCCTCAGTTGCTGCGAAACAAGCAAAATGTTTTTGCTCAAAGAGGCACAGATGTGTTTTTACCAAGGCCGCAATGTCATCCTTATGCTTCACAACTACAAGGGGCTACTTCTGGTGTTGATACAGCGAGGAAGTCAAGAGGAACTGGCACATACATCCCTGACATGGTATATCTCCATTCCGCTGTTTTTCTTGTTAATATGACCAAATGACTTAGTTTTACTGCAGGAAAACCAAAATGAATTATTGGTTACTGAATAAAGATACTTGAATTTTGCAGTGCCATAATCGTTACAAAGATTTGCTACTATGGATGACAATGAGCAATCCAGATTCTACTTATAGACCACTGTTGCAATCCCCTAGAAAGACTAACCAGGCTGAAGAGTCCCCACAGACAGAGAAGAGTGGGAATGGCAACTGCCTTGATATTTCGCCAGATGAAATCTCACCAGAGACAGAGAAGAGTGAGAACGACAGCTGCCTCGATCTCTCACTAGATCAATTCCCACTTCTTCCTTGCAGTAAGAATTCCTTGTCATCAGAAATCCATCAGTCATATCAAACCATCCCTGAGGCATGCCAGGCCAAGTATTGTCCTGCCAGCTTAGGCAATATTCAGTTTAGATACTTACAGAGTTCACCATCACCGCCAGGACTGCCTTCATCAGTGGCCAAGGAGCAAGCAGATTCTGGAGTTTCAACCGCTATAAATAGAATGCCAGCTGTCTCGAGAGTAGAAATGCAGAAGCAACGAGGGTTCTTGGAGAGTGCTGAGAAAATGTATGGTATTTTCTATTACATTAAGGTTTTGATGACGATATAAATTTTCAGAACTTTATTTTTGCTGGTTGGTGCACTACAGGGTTCATGGACTACACTATCAGTTGAAGAATGATATAGACTTCCCCCTCTCTGACCGCCAGTGCACGCACAGGAGGAGATTAGGTAAAAGAGTGGAAGTACAGTTCAACAAAAATGGTGATACCTAACCTGACATAGATCTTTGCTTACATAGAAATAACCCCGCCTTGGGAGGACTTTCTAAAAAAAAATGTTTTTGTTTTTATTTTCCTGCAGTCAAACCTCAATAATGGAAGCATTTTTGTTGAGGATGGCCCTTAGATGGGTTTTCACCCTTTCCATCTCTTTTGAAAAACAATGTATTCTACAAGAACTTTGGCCAGGACCAAAAAGGGTTCTTTTTTGTATGCTCTCTCCTCCTGGCTGAAGCTTTGTGTAGTCTCTGTTGAGCTTTTAGTGAGGACTTTTTAAAGCTGACTTCTATTTGGGTGATTTCTGTGATCACTCACATTTTCATGTACCTAACCTAAGTGTGTTTGCTGCCCTGCTTTGAAGCAAACGCCACCGAAAAGCAGTAAATATTGGTATCTGGCAAGGGAGTTTAGGTTCCATAGCTTACCCTTTTTTGGAAAAAAAAGAAAGAAAGAAAGAAAGAAAATTAGAGAACTTATGATTTTGTCGTGAATAATTATTATTTTTGCATTAACATCTTATTTCTTAGTTAAAAAATTGAGACTAACGATATTTTACCATTGACCTTTATATATATATATATATTAATTGACAACTTCATATCCTCTATTTTTAATTTTTTAAATCTTTTAGAACTTTCAATTGGTTCAAATTAATCTTTTATATGCTCACTTTTTTTTTTCAAAGTAAATTTTATATAAATTTTCTCATCCAACCAGCAATTGGCAACAACCTTATTGAAAATTAAAACAGAAATATAAGGAAAAAAATACAAAGTTTAACGTGGTTCGGTTATGAAGACCTACGTCTACGGGAAAAAGGTTTTAACTCTTTATTTTTGTCACACCAAATACAGCGAAGCAGCAGGTTTCTTTTATAGTAGTCATATACACCGAATAGTAAGCCACAATTTAGAAAAATTAGAATAGGAAATTAGGGTCATATTTTCTCCCGATTTTCTCGTGATTACGGTGATTGATTTTTTCCTAAATAGGAAGATTCTGTTTTCTTAAATTGGAGGAATATTTCCCACACTCCCCTTAAGCTGGTGAATAGATATCGGTCATTCCCGACTTGCTAAGACATATCAAAACTTGATTTCGAATAGCTTTTTTCGGAATATCGACTTCTGAGATTTGGTAAGGACATAAGATAGAACAATAGTTCCATTGTCTATCTCATTTTTGATAAAATTTCGTCAATCCTCACATGTTTCATTCGATCATATTGGATCTGGATTGTGAACAACACCGATAGCTGATTTGTCGTCACTAAACGACTTCATAGGGCTTGTTTCGACATGTTTAGGTTTGTCATTAACTTCGAATCCAAATAAGTTCACAGGTTCCTCGAGCTATAGCTCTATACTCGACTTTTGCACTACTCGAGCCATCACAGATTGTTTCTTGCTTCTCCAAGTCACTAGATTTCCCCATACCTTGGTACAATATCCGAGTTGTTGACTTGCTATCATCAATACCTCCCGCCCAATCCGCATCTAAAAAGCCAACAACATCTCTAACTTCATTTTTCTTAAACAACGGACCTTTACTAGGACTCCCCTTCAAGTATCTCGGAATCCGATTTATCGCTTCTATATGCCTCTTAGTGGGAGTATGCATAAATTGACTTATTATACTTACACTAAAAGCAATGTCCGGTCTTGTGAGTGATAAATAAATCGGTTTTCCTACCAAGTGTTGATACCTTTCTCTATTTATCGGGGGATCATCATCCGATACTTTGTGCTTCCAGTGTCTTTCCAAAGGTGTACTAGAAGGCTTACAACCAAGCTTTCCTGTCTCCTTGAGTAAATCTAGTGTGTACTTCCTTTGTGAGATGAAAATTCCTTTGCGACTCCTTGCGACTTCCATCCCTAAAAAGTATTTTAGTTCTCCTAGATCTTTTACCATGAACTCGCCCGAAGTCATTTCTTGAGATTGCTAATTTCCACTTCATCATCACCTATGATCACCATATCATCAACATATACAATGAGTATAGCTTGTTTACTCGATTCACTTCTCTTCACAAATAATGTGTGATCTCGCTTGTCCTTGGTGGTACCTAAGACTCTTCATCACGGTGCTAAATCTTGTAAACTAAGCTTTAAGAGATTGTTTCAAGCCATACAATGATTTTTTTCAATTTACGGACCTTGTTTACTTCTTCTTCATTCTCGAATCTCGGGGGATACTTCATATACACCTCTTCCTCCAGTATACCATTAAGGAACGCGCATTCTTCACATCTAATTGATGTAATCTCCAATCCAGATTGGCGACGATAGACAATAGGATTCGGATAGTGTTGAGTTTGGCAACCGGTGCAAAAGTTTCTTCATAATCAATTTTATAGGTCCGAGTGAAGCCTTGTGTTACGAGTCTTTCCTTCAACCGATCCACTTTTCCATCGGGTTTATATTTTATCGTAAAAACCCATTTACTTCCAACTACTTTCTTCCCTTATGGTAGTTGCACCATTTCCTAAGTATCATTGTCCGTTAATGCTTTCATCTCTTCCAACACAGCCTTCTTTCCAATTAGGATTTCGAAGAGCCTCATCAATAATTTTAGGAACTTGTATTTCATCAATATGGGCAATGAAGGCATTAAAATCTCCCGAAAGCTTAGAGTATGCAACATAATTTGAGATAGGATATTTAGGAGCTTTAGTACGGGTTCTTACCCCTTTCCTTAAAACAATTGCAAGATCTAAATCATAAGGTTGTTCACCACATGACCCATCCTCTTCGTCATTCGTTGTTGCTAGAATCGCCATCGGTTCGGACTTATGGGTTTGCATTGGAGCTCGTGGTCTCCTAGAATAGACTTGAATTGGTTTTGGATCAACATTATTCAACTCTACCCCTTGACCAAGATCGGACCTTCTCCCTTGACTGGTTCCATTGGGCTCGGATATAGAAACCACTGGGTGTGTAATTGAAGAAAAAATTATTGAAAATGTGGGATCCCAATGTTTATCTCCTTGAGTATCATTCTCCCTTGGAGATAAACTTGGGAGTAAAAAGGCTGATTCTCTAGAAAGGTCACATCACAAGAAATAAAGACATGTTTGGTAGGTGGATGATAACATTTATAACCCTTTTGAGTGGGAGAATAACCAAGGAAAACACATTTCGGGGCTTTCGAGTTTAGTTTGCCTCGATTAGGTTGAAGGTTATGAACAAATACTACACACCCAAAAACTCGAGGTTGAAGAGTATTATGGACCCGTGAAGTAGGGAAGACAAATAGTAAAATACTAAGGGTAGTTTGGTATTTGAGAACTTTTAAAGGAACACGATTGATTAGGAATGCAGCTGTAAGGACTGCTTCCCTCCAAAAGTGATTTAGAACCCGACGTGCAAACATGATGGATCTAGCCACTTCTAAAAGATGATGATTTTTTCTTTCAAGCAATTCCATTTTGTTGCGGGGTCGACACACATGAACTTTGAAGAACAATTCTATTTTCTTGGAGATAGTCATTTAGTTCATTAGGGTAATATTATTTTGCATTGTCCGTTCGAAATATAAGAATGGATGATTGAAAGACATTTGTAACAAGCTTATGAAATTGCTTGAAAATTCTTGTTACTTCGATTTTTTCTTCATTAGATTAATAAAAGTAACAAACCATTTTTCCCCTGTAAAATTTTGTTTCCGTGATGGTCCCCATACATCATTATGAATTAAATGGAATGGACTTGAAGGTTTGTAAGGATGGAAAGGATAGGATGCACGTGTTTGTTTGGCAAGGATGCAACGTTCACATTGAAAACATGAAGGATTTTTATTGAAAAATAAATGGGGATATAAATGTTTCAAATAATGAAAACTAGGATGACCTAATCTATTGTGCAATAACCGAATATCGAATTGGAAAATGAGGACAAAACACTAGATGACCTAGAGCTTGAGGAGGGTCCAACACCCGACATATAATAGAGACCATGTCGCTTCTCGGCATTCCCAATCGTCCTCCCCAATGATAAATCCCGAAATTCACAATGAGAGGGAGAAAATGTCACGGAGCAATTCGAGTCCTTAGTAATTTTACTCGGTGACAATAAATTACATTTTAATTCCGGAATATAAAGCACAGATTTTAAATTCAGCCCATTTATATCCAAGTCTCCCTTCCTTGTTGTTGTACATATAGTTCCATCTGCCACTCGTAACTTTAAAATTCTCTCTACCTGGTTTATAATTGCTCATCCTTACATTTGAACTCGTCATATGGTCGAAGCCCTAGTATCTACTATCCAATAATCATATTTTGTCTTGTATGATAAAAAAGAACTGTACCTTTGTGAGTTGTTAGGGTTGAGGAACCGAGTGGAATTAGAGGGAGCAGATTTGTATTCTTCGTATTAGATTTCATCAATTTCTTGAGGACTTCTAATTGTTCGGTTATAAACAATTGAGGGTTTGTATCTATTGTTGTTTCAATTGAATAGGCAACCTTCTTCCTCCGATTTCTCGGCTTCCAATCTTTAGGTTTTCCATGTAGATTCCAGCATGTATCTTTAGTGTGATATGGTCTTTTACAATGCTCACACCATACTTGTTTATCCTTCCCAAAATCAGCCCCTTTGAACTCGTTTTCCTTACTTTGGTTTATCACCAAAGCCGATCCTCGCACTATCGCCTCTACTCGTTGTATTCGACGGTGGCAATGACATCACATTCCTCCTTATTTTTTCGTGCCGAACTTCAGCAAAGACCTCCTTTAATGAGGGTAATGGTTTTATACCAAGTATTCGTCCCTTAACATCATTTAGTTCCCGATTTAAACCTTTCAAAGAATAAAAAATTTGATCCTTTTCTAGCATTTTGCTATAGAGCACCCCATCATTAGCACATCTCCAAGATATATTGTGAAACATATCAATTTCTTACCACAATTCGACATGTTATTGAAATATTCAGTAACAAGTGATGTACCTTGACGAATATTTCTAATTTTGGAACGAGCCTCAAAACTTTGTGATATGTTCTCCAAATCCGAATACATATCTCTCATCGAATCCCATATTTCCTTTGCTTGTTTGGTAGAATAAATACGGTCGTTCGAGTTTTTGGTCCATAGAGTTGATTAGCCATACCATGATTGTAGAATTTTCAGCCTCCCAAACTTTATAATCGAGTCGACTCTAATGGTGGTGCCTTTTTTGCCCAAGTTAGATATCCCATCTTCCCTCCGTCGTTGATCACTAGTAAAACCGATTGATACCACTCCCTAAAATTACTCCCATTTAGTTTGTGAGAGGTGATTTTGATTGAGAAGTTATCGGTAGGATTGGGTAAAATTGAGGTTTGTGGGTTGACAACAGTAGGGATCCTAATTGATTCCTCTCGTAGTTAGGGTGGAGCTTGCCATCTATTCGGCTAAGGTTGGCTAGAGTTGGTTTGGTTCTTTGGCTAGAGGATAACTTGGCTTTGATACCATAAAACGAAATATAAGAAAAAAACCATAAAGTTTAACGTGGTTTGGTTATGAAGACCTACATCCACAGGAGAGAGGTTTCAACTCTTTATTTCGTCACACCAAATACAACGACGAGTAGGTTCCTTTTATAGTAGCCATATACACAAGAATAGGAAGCCACAATTTAGGAAAGTCGAATAGGAAATTAGGGCCATATTTCCTCTTGATTTTCTATGATTACGGTGATTGATTTCTTCCTAAACAGGAAGATTCTGTTCCTCCTAAATTGGAGGCATATTTTCCACATAAATAGTGAAAAAATTGGAGGCCAAGTAAAGAAAAAAAGGAATACAAGTATTATTTATGTATTTTTATTTTGGTTTGATATGCAACTTTGCAATTTCAAACATCAATCCTAACCATCCATTTTTCACCATGTAAATCCCTAGTTTAAGCCTAAACCACTTGTAAATGTCAATCAATTATTTACTTTGGTCTTCAATGCAATGATATGCACTTGTTTTTTATTTTCATAGTGGCATTTATTTGCCTTCTTACTTTCCAAACATTTTCGTCCTCTTTTTTTTTAATTTACTTTATATCATTTCTCTTCCAACAATCTTCTACTATTTTCCTATTTCATTTTCTAACTAGAAGCAAGTTGTAATTTGCAAGGATTTATAATTTATTATTTCTGTACTATTGAATGAAAATAATTTCTTATTACTCAAGGACAAGAGCAGCAACAAGAATATCTTATTTATTTTTACAAAAATTCCAGTCCAAACTTGTACGGGGTCACACAGTTGATTAGGCACAATCCACAAGGGCATTACCTAGGGGTATTTCTCATCTTCAAAGTGGTCATGGAAGAGCAAAATCATCCCCATGATCTTGAACCATGCTGGTCCATACAGAAACTAGATTTCAGAGTGATACGCTGAATGAACAGTAAAAACAAATATTTGGCAATCATGAGCATCAACTCGAGCTCCAAATGATGCCACTGCATCTTCCACCACATCTTTGTGCTGCAAGCAGAAAAAGATGCTAAAGTGAGCATAAATTAAAAGTTCGAAAGAATAAAAGCTCAAGCAAGTCTTAAAAATTCACGAAGAACCATCTAAGACCCCAGACACTAATAACTGAGAAAAATGGACCGCTGTTCGCCTGAAACTGTTTGATTGACTTATTTCCTGCCATTTATTTGATGGTGCATGCTAACATTGAAATGTTAGAATCCATAGCCAAACTGATGCATATTGCCTAAAGTCCAAGTTAAACTCAAGGAAATGTGAAAACAAAATGGACATCAAGCCAGTGCTGCAAGTCATAGTTAATGTTTAACTAATGTACAACAGAACAACAACGAAACAATACTCAGTAAATAGTAGCTAATAAACCCAATAAATATTAATATTCCATGTGAAATGTTAAACTTTGAAGAATTGCAAAACTCTTGACATGGGTTAAAGTCAAGCAAATGAACTCAAGAGTCCCAAACACGAATGAGGGTGATTTTGCTGCACAGTGGCCTTTGCTACCTGATTAGGCACTATTGAAAAAAAAAAAAAAAAATTTCTAAAACAACACTGAAGCTATTGTTTAGGTCTTCTAATACCAACAACCTGTGCCAAATTCATTTTGCTCACCTGCCACAGGTCTCTTACTGAGACGCTAGTGCTGGATTCAAGTCCAAGTGCATCCCATCCAGCAGTGATAGTTGCAGCTTTTGAACATCGATTCCAGAAAGCAACAACTATGCGATGTCCAGACAAAGGACCTGCCCAGACCTGGAAGAAATAATCACAATTATGGTTAAGAACAAGCCTTCTTAAGTAGAAATATTGTCAACAAACTCATCCAGTATGACATTAAATTTTACCAAAGACATTTCTGTCAACCAGATATGTTAGAAACTGATGCCTTTTCTTCTTATTTTCGCAAGAAGCAATCTTTAGTACTCTCATATATAGCATGAATGAGAGAAGATTCTTTTCCATCTAAGCCCCACACAAGAGCGAAGACAGTTCTCTTCAATCGGACAAAATGTGGAATGAAATGTAAATTTGACCGACAAACATTCAATTATTTGCCCATAATTCAGGTATGATATTGGTTGAATAGGCTGTAAATTGGTGTAAGAGAGAAGGACCTGTAGGCAACCATCAGTTCCACTGGAATAAACCTTCCTCCCCTGAATCCCTAGTGGGTCTGTAAAAGAAATCAAAATCCTCGCTTATTTTTCCAGACATAATAATTTTAAGAGAAATGACAAGAAAATATACTATTAACTACCTCAACAAAATGGAACACACCCCAAGCCCCCAACAAACCAACAGAGAGAGGATGAACTTCACCTTGATTTACAGCAATGACCTCCTCATTGGTTAGGATTTCAATAGTTTCTGCAGTCATGTTTCTTACATCGCAACCAATCAAAAGGGGGGCCTGCACAGCCAAGCTCACAATAAGTTCATGAAGGAGCCATAAAGTCAGACCCGGTATACATGTCTGACACTATTTCGTACAAGCCTTTTTTTTTTTTTTTTTTGAACTCACACACCGAAGACTCCTTGCAGAACTAGTCTTCTAGGATTTGAACTCATGACTTCTTGTTGCAAGAGACCACTACCACTGGACTATAAGCTATATGGTTATTTCGTACAAGCTCAAAATGAAGCAAAATTCCATGATATGGAGTGCTAATGAAGTTCCCAAAATGGCATAACCGATAAATGCATTTATGACCAAAACGTTACTGCTGCACGTTGAGATAATGTTCTCCGAATATGACACAACGGTCAAACAAAAACTTAAGGATATTCTAAACAACCACACGACTCGGATCCAACTTAAAAAACCTTAACTGGAACAACATGGGATGAATTAGGTGACTTTTCCAGTTGGTTAGCTCTGTTGATGATATTTTCCATCATCAGTATTATCTTGATAAAATTCATCTAACACTTTAAAAAAATGAAAGAACTTAATTTTTGTGGCCCTTATCTTTCCAGCCTGCAAAATTCGAAAACCAGAGTAGGATAAAGAAACAGAATTTGGAGGCGAGACCTTCATTAAGGCCCATATGCTAAAATGAGCACGATACTCGTGGTAAGTCATGCCGCCATTGCCAACTTCCAACATATCAGGATCTGACCAAGAAAAAATAAGATAGCAAATAAGACAAATCCATTGAAGCAATATACCAAAACTTTCATGTGATCATATTCACAAAGATCTCGTTTTTTTTACCATTCCATCCACCAGGTCCGGCATAAGATGCCCATTTATCATTCAGATCGGCTATAGTAGTCATACTTAACAGCAAGGAAAAAACTCAATCAGTCTGACAAACAATTTATATATAAGAAATTAATATATTTCCAACCAGCTTTAACAGTCATTAACAAAATATGTTCAAGATCTTATGGAGAAATGGTAAGTTAGTAACAGCAGCAAAATGGTGCTCGCTGGCATTTAAACTCTGTCCTTGTCTGCAGGAAAGAAACCTTGAAAGGTATGCATTTTGTAATTTAATGTAACTGAAGGCAATATGAAATCGACAAACATGCATTGAGGCTTGGTATCAAAGTCTATCCATATTCTTTAACTTCTTCAGTTTGCAAATAGATGCTACAGGAATCTCAAGTGTTGAGTTCAGCACGGAACATTTGCAGTTGACCCTGCTCCAAAAATTTTCTGCTCTAAAATGGTTTAAAATTTAACTAAGGGAGAGAACAGTATAACTAAATGTCATTGTTTACCCAAAAAAGTCTTCTGGTCTGAAATGGTTTACTATCAATGCATTCTCAGCCAAGTTTCTCAACCAGAGTCACTCTTTTAAAAGGGTATATTTGAGGTGGTTTAGCTGCAGAGAACTGATGATCCTGGTAACTCTTTATAATTCATCCTTTAGCAAGATGATTTCGTTTTATTCCACAATTTAATCACAGGGTCCCTGGTAGATGAGCATGTGACTGTGAAGTTAAGATTATTTGTTTTTCCCTTTTTCAGTGGAAATCAAGCTTATTTTCAGAGTGCTTCTAAGGTTTCAAAAAGACAAGACCATTCTTTTTTTGGTCTGGAATGGAGAAGGGACTTGTCCTCATGATGCTTAAAAAATAAATGGAAACTCTAGTTATATATATGAAGTACATTTTCATGATATGTGCTGTACGAACAATATACCAGGAATTAAAGTCAGAAGTTTAACCTTGCCCATGAATCATTGATGTCATCTGTTGTACGCCAACTGTTTCCAACTTTATCAGCCCATAATGCAGGGTCATCTACACCCCTGTCAAAACCAAAATAAGAGGGCCAAAATCACTCTCAAGGCAACAACTAACTAGAACACACACAAAAAGAAGGGACAAGGTTTACCATTCACATATTGCATAAAAAATTGTGCGTCCAGTTTCATTTAGAGCATCACGCATTGGTGGATATCTGGAAATGATCAGATCACATGTGATCAACCTAAAAGTACTTGATGATGGTTGCTTAGTATTTAGATGACACTGCAAAGGAGATAAAACCTTTCTTTTGGCTTGATGCCCAAATTGAAACAGTTGTCATACTTCAAATAATCTACACCCTGATGACAGAAATAAATCATTAACTTAAAATAACATTCCCCTCTCTAAAACAAAGAAAAAGAAAAACCATGTAATTACTAATGAAACCTCACATGTCATAAATGATTAGACATCAAACATGTTTACTTTACCAGGAATGGGGCAATGAAGTGAATGTCCAACTAGTTTCAAAGCCCATTTGTTCCTATGGTACTTGATGAACTTCACAGAATGTAGAAAATCAATTAAACATTATGAGCAACTAAAATAATTTCATTTTATGTTTTGGATCATGTGATGACTCAAGAGACAAAACGTTAGCTGATTCCACTATTTTATTGTTCTTAAAAGGGCTTATTTTTCACATGATAGTTTGTTCCTCATTTTCTTCTATCAAGCCATGTAAAATGCTTACAATAGCTAAAGCGCAGCTTAACTCCAATGCACATGCAAACACCCACAAGCAAATGAGGAAGCATTTGATTACAAGATACAGAAACTAACCCAAGAAGCAAAAAGTTCTGCATCATCTTTTTCGTGGAACAGTGATCCTGGTCGAACTTGACATGTAAAAGCCCTATTCAAATGAGTTCAGTGAGTTCAGGAGTGACTGGACACTGAAATGGCAGTAACTCACTTTCGGTTTTAGAGTAAGTGCTTATTTATAATGATCTAATTTCTAGGTCTCCAAATAAGCGCTGGAGAGAGTTCATCATACCCAGCATCAGAATAAATGCCAAGCTTGAGGCCCTTCCCATGAACATAATCAGCGAGAGCTTTAATTCCTGACGGAAAGGTTTTTGAATCAGGGACCAGTTGACCCTATGAAACAAAAGAAGTAATAAACTTTGCATGATTAGCAGCATCTAAATTCATCAATTCAAACCTTTCTTATGCAAAAAGTAGAATCATATTGAGGGTAAAGACATTGCTAGAAAGAAGAAAGGATTGACATTAGACTGAGATCTATGGTCTTTTTTAATTATTAATTTCTGGTACCACTGAAAGCAGAAAATTCAAAGTCTCGAGGATAAAATGAAGGTAAAAACAATCAATCAATAAAATTAACAAATAGTGGTGAATATATCTTCTAAGAAGATAGAGATTTGTTCCCATGGACCATATGATAGCTCAAATACAATTAGACCAACTAAGATTGTAAAAAGAAAAAAGGAATTGACCTTTAAATCTCGTATTGAACACCAGCAATCATCTGCATTGAATGAATTGAGATAAGTCTAAAACAGAACCAAAATGAGAAGTTAAAGCAAATAAGTGAAAATGCTGATGAATACCTATGTTGACATACACGTAACCTAACTTAGCCAAACCGGTAGAAATAAGTGCATCAGCTGTCAAACACAGAAGTGAACGTCAGTATTTCTTGTAGAGTTTTTGACCAAAGAAGAAAGAGATGTGCGCAATCTTTGGGATCCAAAAAAATCTGATTTTGACACCCCAACGGAGCCGTAACAGAGAACAAATTCAAATATCTTCTTTACATGTGGGCATTAATTTACATGAAAGAACTTTCACTGATTCCAGAAAGAAAAAGGTGTTATAACGCATGATTGGTCTAACCTATTCTATAAAATGCAGGATAAAAATATTAAAATAGACTTCTTATGTTAACCCAGCCAGAAGTACAGTTTGCTGTTTTTCACCAGTTACGCAGCACACAGATATACTATGTTTCTCCTACTTATATTTGTGTGTGTATCAGAAACTCTTTCTCATCCTTCACCCAAGTTGCATTCAACTTATTTCGAATTGGCTCCTGATTATCAGCCACTCAACTGCAATTTTAGTCCCAACTTCTGATTCATTTCAATTCTCCAAACAAATCACGTGTCCATTAATAATTTTTAACAAAGCAATAATCTCAAATACAAGTGATGTATATGTGCAATGGTCAATAACTATATATATATATATGGAAAAAAAAATGAAAATAAGAAAACAAACGCACCTGTTTCCTTGATGACGGTTTCATTGATATTGCAGGCAAAGAAATTCCAGCTATTCCATCTGCAAAAACACCCATGTTACACAACCATAAACAAAACCATATTTCACGAAAAGACAGTTTTCCCGCATGCATCATTAAAGTAAAATTTCAGACAAAGAATCCCTCCTGATTATAAGCAAAACCCAACACCAGTACATCCCCAGAGAACAAAATATCCAATAAAACCCAACTCCTAAAAAAAAGGGGGAAAAAGAAAAGAAAAGAAGGCATCAGAGAGAGACCCCATCTGAGGAGTTCTAGCCAATCCATTGTTGAGCTGGACAGTCCCATAATTGGAAGTATCAAAAATGTTATTGAATGATCTGCTATATCCATAACTCCCTTTTTCATATCCCTGCAAAAGAGGCACTACCCTCCCTGCAACTGCTACCTTAAGTACACACAGTAAGCTTGAGCATGTTAGAAACACCACAAAGTGGCAAGAAATCTTCTTTCCCATTTATTTAATCAACCCAAATACTATTCTTTTCTATGTTATTTGCGTGTTATCGTCTTTTTGCTCTTCAAATTTCCAAACTTCGCTTCTGCAACTATGAGAGAGAAGCAGAGAGATACTTGATTGACTCAAACAGGACAAAGGAAATGTTTTTAAATACTCATGGAGTTAACTACTCCATGTGTCTAGTTTAAAAAAAAGAGAGAAAGAAAAGGATATCCGTACGTGGCAAAAATATTTTCACATATATTCACTTTTATTTTTTTAATTTTATCTTGTATTTATTTTTTCTTTTTTTGTTTATCTTTGTCATAGAATGAGCAGAATTTCTTAATTATTTCTTCAATATCATAAAATTCCTCCACAAACAATGTGACAGAATAGATAGATAGATAGATGAGCAGAATTTCTTTGGAAATTTGAACGTTTTGGGGAGTACTCATTTATTTGGTGTTTGTATTTTTTTTATATATATATTTTAATATGACTTCTCTGCTCATTTTTTATTTAATTGATCCTTTTATTTAAGAAATTGTTTAATGTCATCCCTTCATAGCATTTTGTGCGAGTCCTTGACGCTTGGCTTGACATGGGATAGACGATAGATCATTGTTCACTTTTTCTCACATATTGCCAAGAATTTAATGACAGATTTTATTTTATTTTTTAACTTATATATCCAAAATTTATAATAGAATCCAAACAGATAGTAGAATTCGAATAGTGATTTTTTAGTGTAAGAGATCATTGCCATTAAACTATGTAAGCTCTTTGGTAATTTAATGGCAGATTGGACAGAAGGACTAGAGTGAAAACTTTCCTTGAGTAGAGGGACCATGAGTACAAAAAAACAAAGGAACCATGCTAAGAAAATTTCAGTCTTACCAAATGTATAATTAATCCTAATCTTGCTCAATCTGTTGCTTTGAAAATGACACGTCAGATTGCTACTATTTTGTTTTATTGTCTTCGCCATCAAATATTGGATCAGTGGATAGATTAGGTTGGTTAATTTTAATTTAATATTACTATCTATCAAGGGTAAGTTGGCTAAATCCATTGACTTGAAGGCTTCGATTATTTGTTTTATCTTGTTATTATGCCGTTTATAACGATTGATTTTATTTTTTATTTTTTGTTTGATAGGAGGACTTTGTAATGCTAAGTTAATGTTTGAAATGAGATGGTAATTTGAATATACTGTAATATAATATAAAAAATGATGAATAGTATTTGTGAGTCAAGAGATTCAAACCCTTAATCTTAAGTCTTTTTCTTGTTTATATAACCATAAGCTTTGTCAAATTATATGAAAAGAGAGGTAAAATATATATATATATATTTTTAATGTTAAAGGCATTTAATATTTTTTTTAAGGACAGATATTTTTGATATTAAAATGATACAATCTGAAAGAATGTGACAATATTATAATGGATGATAATAAGATAATACTGATCTTCAATATCTACTCTCATTTAGTAGATATTCAATGCGTCCCTTTCAACTAATGGAACCATAATAAGAAAATGTCTCGAGTCTTACCAAATGCATAATTAATCCAAATCTTGCTCCATCTGTTGCTTTAAAAATGGCACGTCATATTGCCATCAGATATCGGATCAATGGATAGATTAGGCGGCTGAATTGATTTCTCGTTTAATAGTTATTATTTGTCCCTTTTATTTAATGGGAATGGAATTGATGGTCCAGATCTATTATTCAAGATGAGACCGCTTCCTAGAGGTGACTTAGCAAGGTTTATTGTCCCTCATGTGATTCGAGTGGAGTCCCGTCTTGTTGGGTGTTCACTCGAATTTCAAGTGTAATTTATCGTCTGTGTTTAGGTGAGAGGCTTGTCACGTCTAAGATGAATTAGGGTTATATGGAATTCTTCAATTTAATTCAATATATAAGAAAATTATTATTTACAGGGGACCATTACCTAAGAAAATTGGATTATTTCATAAAATGTATTGTTTTCTTCTTATAATAATCTTTTTTTTCTCGTAGCCTTCCTAGATAATAGAACAAGCACACAAATGCAATATATGAAAGATCTTTTTCAAGAAATGGTTGATAAAAAAGAAAAAGGAGTATGCGAACTTGTTCCACACGAAATGAATTTCTTTTTTCTAATTAAGTGGGTCATGAGTGGAAAGATAAAGGTAAAAGATATATATATATACTAGATTTTTGACCCATGTTACGTCGCGGATTAGATAAAATATATAAAATTATTTTAGTTTAATAACTGCTTTTAAGATAAAAAATAATTATAATTTTTAATCAAAAATTTTATATTTATATATTTCTTATTTGTGTTTTTAAATTTTAGAAATAAATACTAAAGAAAATAAATTATTGGCTTTTTAAAAATTTGAACACCCAACATTATTAAAAAATAAAATTTTTTAAAAAAATTCAATTTTTAAAGAAAAAAAAAGGGCCGATCGTTTACTATTCATATGAACAGTAAACAAATGGAAATTAAAAAAAATGTTTAGTGTTTAGAAAGGAAAAAAAAAAAAAAGCCAAGTCGTTTATTGTTTAAATGAACGAGTATACGTAATAAAAGGCAAAGAATGCCGGCGTTGGCCAAAAAAAAAAAAATGAAAACTAAAAAAAAACACCGTAACAATAAACAAGTGATTGCTACAAGTAAAAATCATTTTCCATTAGTATAGAGGATAATATAACAATCTAACATTCCAACTAGCGACCTATGTTTTGAGTCGGTAGCTATTTCTAATATCGAGGAGCAAAGTGATTATGGGGGAAAAAAAAAAAGAGCGGAAGAATCAAATGAAAAAATTTCTTTTTACATTTTTCTTTGCCGAGGATGAAAGGTATTTTTAACCATTTGATACCAAAAACACTAAGAAAAATTACGCTAGGATATAACACGAAATTTTTTAAGTATTCGATGAGTAACTATTAATATTTATTTTATAGAATAAAATGGATATAGAATAGAGAGAAACACAAAAGGAAATTAAGAAATTATTTTTAAATTTAGATGAAAATAGTTTTATTATTTTTATGAGATTAATTAATCACATACTTCGTCTCAATACTTTTGATATATATATAATAGCTCAGTCAAAATTCCATCAAAAGGCCACAATAAGAAAATTTAGAGAGTAGAGAGATCCGATTAAAAAAAATGATGGAACAAATAGACCGTATTAATAAAGTCTAAAAAGTATAGGGACAAATCATGTCACTAATCTATTTTTGTGGCTTCGATGTTTTTATTTTTTATTTTTTATTGTCTTTATATCCGTTTTCATCTCAAAATGAATCCATAAAATACATATTGATAGTTACTTCATTAATACTATAAAATTTCTCGGCATGGCACTTCATTACGAAAACCTCTATCAATCCACATTTGTTGGCCGGATTATAAAATCCTTGATTGATGGATACACTTTCTCGCACAAGAAAGATATTATGTTTAGTTAACGAAGTAATCACATTTCCTCGATAGTTTATAGAGTAATAAAAAATCTTAGCAATCCGGGTCGGTTCGGATCGAATCATAATGAATTTTAATTTAATATGTAATAAACGGATCAAATCGAATTATATGAATTTAAATCCAAAATTTCAATTTCGACTATAATACGGATTCTAATGGATGTGAATCGATTTGAATACCCATGAGATTTGTCATTCAATATTTTTTTTGAAAAAAAAAATTACTATATTTAAATCAAGGTTTCGATGTAAATACATTTCAACCACCACATGTGTAAGAAAATATATTATGATAATATTTAATATGTCAATTAAAAGAAACCAAAATGCTTGACCATTAAAAAGAACAAATCAAATAATTCTAAAGTTTTATATGAAATGTCAAAATTGCAAACTTGAAATGGATAAAAATTCATATTGAATCAAGACATTATAAATTAAAAATACAAATATAATACTATCAATAGCTTACTAATATTTTTATATGTTTACAAGATTTTTTACAAAATTAATTTGAGATTTGAAAACAAATGAAAAAAAATAAAATCATGTGCTTGTTTAAACAACAACCATAAATGTAGAAAGAAATTCTTATTAGATCAAGATGTTATAAATTAGAAACAAAAGTATAATACTATTAACAACTCATTAATTAAATTTTTAAATATGTTTGTAGGATTTTTCACAAAATTAATTTAAGAATTGAATAAAAAATGAAAAAAAAATCATGTGATTGTCTAAAAGAATAGCCATCAATATTGTAGAGGAAAAAAAAACAAAGCAAAGAAGTACATAGCATCATTATCATTTAGATTAAAGTAACTCTAAATCTACATACACTACAAAAAAAAAAAAATGGAGTTTAGCGATGGAATATTCCGTCGCTAAACGCCCCGGTTCCGTCGCTATTCGTGAATAACGATAAAAAAATTTTCATCACTATTTCGCTTGTCGCTAATTTTTTACGATGAAATATTTAGTTCGTCGTAACATTTAGCAATAGAAAACCCGTCGCTAATCTTGTCGTTGGATCAGTCATTTTGTTCGGCTAATCCATCTCTATTTCGTCGTTATAATTTTGAAATAAATTTGTCACTATTCCGTCGATAATTTTGAAAATAAATCTATCGCTATTTCAAAAAACAAAATTGACACTAATCCGTCGCTAATTTTGAAAACGATTTTTCGCAATTCTATCGCTTTTGTTGACATTTTTTAAAATTAAATTATTAATATAACATTTCATAATTAATATTTAATAATAAGCAATTATAAGTAATCATGTATATATGAAAAATAAAATAATATTAACAAAATCATTCTAGAATATGTTTCATAAAAAAAACAACAAAATAAACAAAGTGACCGAATATTATATCACTTATCCTCGCTCGTTTAATTTGATATCTTTATCATGTGGAGGGCTTGACTAGAGTATCCACTAGAGGTTGAGTGGAAGAAACGGTAGATTAAATAATTAAATTAACCTAACACTAAAAACAAATAAATATATACTTAATTCGCTTAATTAAAATAACAATTTAAAATTAAATAATTAAATTTTAATCTAACAACTCAAAATTAACAAAATTTAAATTTTTAAGGTTTACTTTAATATATAAATTAACCTAACAATTAACATAACAATAAAATAAAACTTAACAAAATTAATCTAAAAGTTATAAAAATAAAATAACAACTAACAAATTTAAACTACTACATACAAATTAATATAACAAGATAATTAACAAGATTTAAACGATTAATAAACTAACAAATAACAAAATTTTACTAAAAATTTATAACATTTATCTAATTAAAAAAAATATAAGAGTTAGAGAGGAAAAGTTTTACTTGATAGATAAAGGATAGAGAACAAATATCCGATCCGATATTGAGGGAGAAAGATACCTCTCACTTTGTTGAATGGTTTTGAAAAAGATTTAGTGGCATGGGGTGGCGTGGGTGGTCGTTTTTATGGGTGCTGGCGAAGGGAAGATGTGGTGGAGGTGAGGGAAACAAATGGAGAAGAAGAAGTAGGGGGGACATATAAAGGCAAAATAGCGACGGATCCGATTTCGTCGCTAATTTGGGGGAAATTCCCAAATTTTGCAAGATTAGTGACGTATTTAAAAATCGTCCCTAACTTCACTAAATTACGAGAATTTTAGCTACGAAAAAAATTTCGTCTCTAATTTTTTCATTTAGTAAACACGGGGCCATCACTAATCCATCGCCGATTTTAACGCTTTTTCCCCGCCTTATTTAGCAACAAATTTTTGATCGTCGCTAAGTATCCCTCGTTAGTTCGTCGCTAATCTGTCACAAAACACAACCTTTTATAATCCGTCGTTAATGTGTCGCTAAAATCCGTCGATAAATGCCGTCACTAATTAGTATTTTTCCGGTAGTGATATTTAGCATATTTTTCTTATTTTTTATCTTTAATATTTGTATGTTTAAAATATTATATTTATTAAAAATAATACAAATAAATTTAAATTTTGATATATTTAATAATTTTTTAACATATTTTGATTATAATCAAATTTGGATCATAAAAATTATATACTAGTTACATTGAAGTCGTAATCAAAATTCTAACTTTTGACAAATTTCTAGATCTAATATGGAAAATATGAATCAAGGAATTCAATCACTAATTAAATCCATTAACTTAAACAAGTCAATTATCTTTGCAATAGGTTAAATTCTTTTCGGACATATATGCCTCAACGAATGACCTAAGGTGAATATGACAAATGTGAGTTGCTTTAGTATTCTTTAAGGTCGTAACATATCATTAACAATCCCAAGCATAACCATTACCGCAAAAAATCGAATATTTCAACAAAGTAAGCCTAAGAATTAGCTCTATGTGATACTTTCAAGCAAGAAATTGCAAAATCTAGAGCTGAAAGGAATTAATAGAACATATAGAGAATGCTAACATTCGAGTATAGTCGCAAACACCCCAAAAGATATTTCCACTTTTGGACATTATGGGGCGATGTTAATTATAAAGAAAATAGAGAGAATATGAACTCAAAACCTCGTCTCGATCTTGTTCCAGTAGTCTCTTTATATACACAATGTTAAGTCTATGAAAAAGGAAGTTGCTAAATTACAAAACCTAATTTACTCCATAAATAATAGCAATTAACATACTAATTTATAGCTAATATGATTTACGAGATATAAGCTCTAATAGTTGTCACATAGCTCGTCATCATAATTATTGTGAGTCGTCTAATACTCTCTCTCAAATTGATGCTCGAAGGATCAAAAAACAGCAATTTGCTTATCAAAAAATGATGTCGATCTCAAGTCATTGCTTTGGTGAAGATATCAGCAATTTGTAAATTGGAAGCAATATGTGGAAGAGTGATAAGTTGAGAATAAAAACTTCTCAAATATAGTGACAATCTATCTCGATATGTTTGGTACGCTCGTGATATATAGGATATGCCACAATCTGAATAGCACTAGTATTATCCGCATAAAAAGGTGTGGGGCTGGTTTGAGGAAAGCCAAGCTCGGAAAGAAGGCTTCAAAGCCATGTAATTTCGGAGCAAGCATGAGACATAGCCTTATATTCAACTTCGATAGAGGACTTAGAGACACGATCTTGTTTCTTAAATTTCCAAGATATCAAGGGATGTCCTAGGAAGAGACCAACCGGTAGTAGAACGACGAGTGTTTGGGCAACCACCCCGATCGAGCATCCGCATAGGCAACAAGAGATAAGTTACAATCACGAAAAAAGAAAAAAAGAAAAGGCCTCGATGAATAATCCCATGCACATATTGAACAATTCGACGAGCAGCCACTAAATGTAGATGGCAAGGATTAGACATAAATTGACTAACAACATGAATAGGATATGCAATATCAAGCCTCGTGATGGTTAAATAATTCAAGCTGCCAACTAAACTTCAAAAATGTGTTGGATCATCGAAAAGAGTACCAGCATCATTTATATTACCCTCTCAGGATCACATTTTACTCGAGACATTTGGAAGAAAGGAGTTAAGAGGAACAAAGAGTTAACATTAAAAGGTTTTTTATATTGTAGGGCATTACAATTACCTTTGGACGAAGAGTTTTTACATAAAGTGACTCACGAACCAAAGGTAAGATTGTATTAACAAACTCTTGAAGCACCCCTTTTGCTTTATATATGTGGCAAAGCTTTAATTTTATTTTTCCATCAAGCCACCATGGATTTTGCATATTGGAATTTGAATTAATAAAATCTGTATATACAAACCATGAGATAAAGAAAGATCATGAATGCTTTCCCAAAAGTAAACTACTTTGAAATAAAGAAAGAAAAAAAATGATCAGAACAATGTTACTCAAATCACTGGGAGGAGAAAGCAAAGAAATAGCCTCATCTTCTTTAGCGTCTCCAAGGATGAGCGACGCCAAAGCCAATCGGGCATCAATGCTATCTTCTAGCATGGACAAAGCTGAAGAGAGGCATCGATCAGCCAAAAAACTTGCTTAACTTCCAAGAGTGCAACTTAAAAGAGATATTACGAATGATTATTAAGGAAAATATGAATCAAGGAATTCAGTCACCAATTAAATCCATTAACTTAAACAAGTCAATTATCTTTGCAATAGGTTAAATTCTTTTCGGACATATATGCCTCAACAGACAGCCTAAGTTGAATATGACAAACGTGAGTTGCCCTAGTATTCTTTAAGGCTGTAACATATCATTAACAGTCCCAAGCATAACCATTGCTGCAAAAAATCGAAGATTTCAACAAAGTAAGCCCAAGAATTAGCTCTATGTGATACTTTCAAGCAAGAAATTGCAAAATCTAGAGCTGAAAGGAATTAATAGAACACATAGAGAATGCTAACATTCAGTATAGCTGCAAACACCCCAAGAGATATTTCCACTTTTGGACATTATGGGGCTGGCAGAATAGTCAATTCCATAAATTCAATTATTGAAATTTGCGGGGAAGTGAGTGAGTTCAGTCAGAAGTTTTTAGTAAGATTAGCATTACTCAATAAAAAATTGTTAGAGAAGAAAGAAGATAAACAATGAATCATCTTCGATAACCAATAGCAAATAATCTTCTTGACGAAAGACCCCACCACTTCTCTCTATCCCTCCAGTTGAACTAACAAAGTCATTAGATTTAAAATAATTATGCAGCGATAGACAACTGATAGGGGATAGAATATAACATCTAGGCTGCTGGGACAACCAACAGAAAGATAACTACCTTAGCAAATATATATTCCTCAAAGCCCATAATAGTATCTCTAAAAGCTTACTTAGATCAGAATGAGTCCTTTTAGCTTTTTTATCCTATGATGCCTCTACATCAAATTTTAAAAAGAAGATCAATCAAGAAACAAACATTACAAAGATTCTTTAGCCCATGGTTTTTCCCTTGCAATCCTTTTGAACATTCAGTTTCTTAGGAGTGGGCACAGAATAAAGGATTTTAAACAAAGACTAAGAACCAAAGATTTATAAATCTCAGATGTCCCATCCACCCCAAAAAATAGAGAAGCTCTTCCTTGGCTATAGTAGTAGAAAACCCTAATGCATCGCTATTCAATATTTATATGCATGCTAACATACTGATAAAAGAAAGTATAGATACTAGGCCGAAGAAAGGCATCCCTTATGGGACATCCGACGAAGTGGGAATATGATAGTGGCAAATCTATCATCATCATCATATAGCCATCATATCAGTGACCACAATAAAGAAAGCAATGAAAAAATTATTGATGGGAAGAAAGGGAGGTGTGAGAGATAATACCGAGCTCGGCACACTAGATAACGATAAGCACCCCTTCAACAATAAGATCGTAAAGGATATGAAGAACAATACCTCAGTTTCCACAAGTAGTCAGATCAGATTGGTGGCCCCATGGGATTGGCAAAGCTGACACATTTGAGTGCTCTTGTGCTACATGAAATTTTCATATTAAATTCTGAACTCACATTGTGCTTAGATTGAAGGCCAGATTAGGCACCCAGACCATACCATAGAAGAAGAGTTCCTCAGCACAAAAAAAAGAAAGAAAAGGAAAGGGAAAAAATGGCACAATGTTAGAAAGTTTTGACAATTGGCAGGTTGTAAGTGATTTGTCTTAGAAAGAGCTTTTGAAAAATAATACTTAGCTATACATCCATTAACATGTGCGTGTGCACGTGCCCCAATTGAATAAGCCAAAAGAAAAGTAAAATATGGTAGATATTCATGGTCTCCTCCAAAGAATGTTCTGATACAGCTTAGGAATTGCATGTTATGCATGTGAATAATTCTGCTATAGTTTTAGATAAGTTAAACTGTAATAATAATAATAATAATAATAATTATGCAGACATGTCAACATTGCAACCTTGACCAAAAACAGTTCCAACCTTTCCATCTTATTCCACTAAATTATCATATTATCCATTTATGTCAACATACAGACATATACATAATATATGTCTAAAACAAAATCCAATTACATTGCAAATTAATTAGCCATAATGCTAATTAAACTTCTAAATTCATAAGCATTGGATGCACGAATAGATATTTACCCAATTTACACAATCTCTTCAGTTTCAGCGTTTGGATGATCAATTCCTTCATTTCTTAATTGAATTCAATTCCATTGTTTTTCATGTTTCATCAGAGGCCCTAAAGTTGGAATCATGAGTAAAGGAAACAATATAAAGGTATTGAATTGAAAAGAGAGACTGATCGTACAAGTTGCCGAGTGTGCTTCAAAAGTTGATGCCTCGTTAGGATGCTTAGGTAACGTTGAAGCCCGAGCTTTTCCAGAAAAAGTAGAATCCTTCATCCTACAATAAAATGGAAAAAGAAAGAAAGCAGTAGATGGAAAAAAAAAAAAAAAGGAAATACAGCAAAACGAGAAAAGAAAGAAGGCAAATAAGTGATATGAATATAACTAGCTTTAACATTATACTGTAAGTTATTAATCTTCTTATCGATGACTAATATGTTCTATAATGATGTCAATTTTTCATCAAATGTATTCCCGGCAAACAAGCAATGGGGTCAAGGACATAATGTCCTGCCCAAGTCAGGGGTCAAAGTTTAAAGAGACCTAACAAATGAAAACTGGGGTGCCAGAAAGTTCCGTGAGCAAGTATGAAATCATTTATAATGCTACAGAATAACCATATATTCTCATTGTGTACGTGCCGTTACATGAACCTTGCAAACATGTCTAAATTTAAAACAGTCAAGATAGAAATCCAAACATCCCACGTTACTCTCCTAAATTATCAAAGTTTTATGATTCCCAAATCATACAAATTGAATCTCATTACAAACTAAAGTATAATCAGCTACATGAATAACAAAAAGTTAAAAGAGCATCCAAGGGAAAAATGCATGAAGATTAGTTGCCAACTAAACACTACAAAATTATGTCCTGTTACTAAAATCAGGAGCCATCTTCATGGACACAATTAAACCTCACATCCCATTGAGAAGTTGATGCAAGTACGCAGAACACTAAAACAGCTGCCTATTCCATGAATCTAGCTGTACCTGAAGCCTGAAACATAAACACAAAGGAGTCGCAATTTTCAAAATCAAAACTACCGCCATCAAAATCGGTTTCTTGCAGCAAGCATGATGATGCAGCACCATCATCACCTAAGAAACAAGAAAGAATAGAATGCATAATATGGAAAAATATGAATCAAGGAATTCGTCACCAATTAAATCCATTAACTTAAACAAGTCAATTATCTTTGCAATAGGTTAAATTCTTTTTGGACATATATGCCTCGACAGACAGCCTAAGGTGAATATGACAAACTTGAGTTCCTCTGGTATTCTTTAAGGCTGTAACATATCATTAATACTCCCGAGCATAATCATTCCTGCAAAAAATCAAATGTTTCAACCAAGTGTGCCCAAGTATTAGCTCTATGCGATACTTTCAAGCAAGAAATTGCAAAATCTAGAGCTGAAAGGAATTAATAGAACACAAAGAGAATGCTAACATTCAGTATAGCAACAAACACACCAAGAGATATTTCCACTTTTGGACATTATCGGGCAGGCACAATAGTCAATCCCATAAATTCAATTATAGAAATTTGCTGGGAAGTGAGTGACTTCGGTGAGAAGTTTTTAGTAAGATTAGCATTACTCAAGAACAAATTGTTAGAGAAGAAAGAAGATAAACAATGAATCATCTTCGATAGCCAATAGCATATAATCTTCTTGACGAAAGACCCCAATACTTCTCGGTATCCCTCCGGTTGAACTAAGAAAGTCATTGGATTTAAAATAATTATGCAGCGATAGACAACTGATAGGGCATACAATACAACATCTAGGCTGCAGGGACAACCAACAGAAAGATAAGTAGATTAGCAAAGATATATTCCTCAAAGCCCATAATAGTATCTCTAACAGCTTAGAATCAGAATGAGTACTTTTAGCATTTTCATCCTATGATGCCTCTACATCAAATTTTAAAAAGCAGATCAATCAAGAAACCAACATTTTAAAGATTCTTTAGCCCATGGTTTTTCCCTTGCAATCCTTTTGAAAATTCAGTTTCTTAGGAGTGGACCCAGAATAAAGGATTTACAACAAAGACTAGAACCAAAGATGTCTAAATCTCAGATGTCCCATCCACCTCAAAAAAGAAAGAAGCTCTTCCTTGGTTATAGTAATAGAAAACCCTAATGCATCTCTATTCAATATTTATATGCATATTAACGTCCTGATAAAATAAAGTATACATACTAGGTCAAAGAAAGGCATCCCTTATGGGACATCCGACGAACTGGGAATCTGATAGAGGCAAATCTATCATCATCATCATACAGCCATCATATCAGCGACCACAATAAAGAAAGCAATGAAAAAATTATTGATGGGAAGAGAGGGAAGCGTGTGAGTGATAATACCGATCTGGGAACAGAAGATAATGATAAGCATCCCTTCAACGATAAGATCGTAAAGGATATGAAGAACAATACCTCAGAATCCGCAAGAACTCATATCAGATTGGTGGCCCCACGCGATTGGCAAAGCTGACACATTTGAGTGCTCTCGTGCTGCATGAAATTTTAATATTAAATTCTGAACTCACATTGTGCTTAGATTGAAGGCCAGATTAGGCACCCAGAGCATACCACAGAAGCAGAGTTCCTCAGCACAATAAAAAGAAAGAAAAGGAAAGGAAAAAAATAATGCAATGTTAGAAAGTTTTGACAATTGGCAGGTTGTAAGTGATTTGTCTTATAAAAAGTTTTTGACAAATAATACTTGGCTATACATGCATTAACATGTGCGTGTGCACGCCCCATTTAAATAAACGAAAATAAATGTAAAACGTGGTAGATATTCATGGTCACCTCAAAAGAATGTTCCGATAAGGCTTACGAATTGCAAGTTATGTATGCGAATAATTCTGTAATTGTTTTAGATAAGCTAAACTCTTGAGGGAAAAAAAAAATTAATTGTGCAGACATGTCAACATCGCAATCCAGACAAAAAACAGTTCCAACCTTTCCATCTTATTCCACTAAATTATCATATTATTCATTTATGTCAACATAAAGAAATACACATAATATATGTCTAAAACAAAATCCAAATACATGGCAAATTAACTAACCATAACGCTAACTAAACTTCTAAATTCATGTGCATTGAATGCACGAATAGATATTTACCCAATTTACACAATCTCTTCAGTTTCAGTGTTTGGATGAGTAATTCCTTCATTGCTTATTTGGATTCAATTCCAATGTTTTTCATGTTTCACCTGACTTATACAATCTGTAGGTACACCAGAGCCCCTAAAGTTCGAATCATGAGTAAAGGAAAAAATATAAAGGTATTGAAGGAAAAAGAGAGACTGATAGTAAAAGCTGGTGAGTGTGCTTCAAAAGATGATGCCTCGTTAGGATGCTTAGTTAACGTTGATGCCCGAGCTTTTCCAGCACAGGTAGAATCCTTCATCCTACAATAAAATGGAAAAAGAAAGAAAGGAGCAGAGAAAAACAAAAAGAAAGACAGCAAAACGAGAAAAGAAAGAAGGCAAATAAGTCATATCCGTATTTGAAGCTTTAATAACTAGCTTTCATGTAATACTGTAAGTTATTAATCTTCTTATCGATAACTAATATGTTCTATAATAATGTCATGAACGTTTTTCATCAAATGTATTCCCAGCAAACCAGCACGGGGTCAAAGTTTAAAGAGACCTAACAAATGAAAACGGGGGTAAGGTTTATGGCAGAAGATAGAGTGGCCAGAAAGTTACGTAAGCAAGCATGAAATCATTTATAACGCTACAGAATAACCATATATTCTCATTATGTACGTTCCGTTACATGAACCTTGCAAACATGTCTAAATTTAAAACAGTCAAGATAGAAATCCTAACTTCCCACGCTACTCTCCTAAATTATCAGAGTTTTACAATTCCCAAATCATACAAATTGAATCTCATTACAAACTAAAGTGTAATCAGCGACATGAATAGCAAAAAGTTAAAAGAGCATCCTAGGGAAAAATGCAAGAAGAATAGTTGCTAACTAAACACAGATAAACCCAGAAACGCAGATAAATGATTCTAACTTCCAATTTTAAGGTGCATTGCATTGCAGGTTGTAACTAAATTTGAGGAGTTATGAAGTCGGATTTGGGAGAAGTGCTTATGTAGCATAAAATAATGATAAAACAACTTACACTACCCAGTGACTGAAAAGAAAATTATCAATTAAAAATAGGTTTAAGCATCGGAGTACAGATGATGAATCAAGACCAAGATAGGATAAATTGGACCTTGTGTGAAGATTTATATTATCCTCTCAGGATCACATTTTACACATCTAGAAGAAAGGAGTCAGAGTAACAAAGGGTTAACATTACAAGTTTTTTTTTTATTGTAGGGCATTACAATTACCTTTGGACGAAGGGTTTTTACATAAAGTGACTCACGAACCAAGGGTAAGATTGCATTAACAAACTCTTGAAGCATCCCCATTGCTTTATATATGTGGCAAAGCTTTAATTTTATTTTTCCATCAAGCCACCACGGTTTTTGCATATTGGAATTTGAATTAATAAAATCTGTATATAAAAACCATGAGATAAAGAGAGCTCATGAGTGCTTTCCCAAAAGTAAACTATTTTAAAATAAAATGAGAAAAAAATTATCAGATCAATGTTACCCAAATCTTTGGGAGGAGAAAGCAAAGAAATAGCCTCATCTTCTTTAGCGTCTTCAAGGATGAGCGACACCAAAGCCAATCGGGCATCAATGCTATCTTCTAGCATGGACAAAGCTGAAGAGAGGCATTGATCAGCCAAAAAACTTGCATAACTGCCAAGAGTGCAACTTAAAAGAGATACTATGAAAGGCCAAATATCTGAATATAAATTATAGACGCCACTACCAAAGATTGCATTGAACTGTGCCATCATTAAAGGTATGGAGACAATTCTCCTAATTGAACATCAGCACAAAAATCCTTGACCCAAAACTCATATCAACTAACATTCCCTCCAAGTACAAAGGCCATTTTTGTTGCATGGTTCAAGTCATTTAACTTCAACCCTAAACCCTAAACTCAAAGGCCATTTTTTTTGACATTGTTTGTGTACCTTTGACATTTCTCAGCCCTTTAATCAATGAGTCAACTAACTCTTTAATATGTGCTGCAAGAAGGAAAAACCATTCCAATCACCATAACTTTTCATTCTCAAATCATATAGCCTTCATTTCTTTAATGATACATTTAACTTATTTTCTATTTACTTAATTCTTTGTTGATTGTACTTATTATTATCATTTTAAAAGAAAATTTTATTAACCAAGGTACAAATGAAAAGAAATTGTAGGAAGCAGAACAACACATCCTTCGAATAAGAAACCAAAAAAATACAAAACCATTGCTGACAGCTATCCAAATTTTTGGTAGACTTGATTGCTTTAAATTTGGATAAAGAACTAAAATCCTCTGACAAGGACCGCCATGAAAGCCAAGACAATGACTCTATTCCACAACAAATGTTTCAATGGAGTTGATTGTAGAAATTTCTTGAATTTTGATTGTTTCTAGAAATTAACACTGACGTCCCATTAAGAAGTTGATGCACGCATGCAGACCACTAAAACTGCTCCCTATTCCATGAATCTAGCTGTACCTAAAGCCTGAAGCATAGACACAAAGGAGTCGCAATCTTCAAAATCAAAACTATCGCTATCAAAATCGGTTTCTTGCAGCAAGCATGATAATGCAGCACCAACATCACCTAAGAAACCAGAAAGAATTGAATGCATAATATGGAAAATATGAATCAAGGAATTCAGTCGCCAATTAACAACCATTAACTAAAACAAGTCAATTATCTTTGCAATAGGTTAAATTCTTTTCAGACATATATGCCTCAACAGACAACCTAAGGCAAATACGACAAACTTGAGTTCCTCTAGTAGTCTTTGAGGCTGTAACATATCATTAACACTACCGAGCATAACCATTGCTGCAAAAAATCGAATATTTCAACCAAGTGTGCCCACGTATTAGCTCTATGTGATACATTCAAGCAGGAAATTGCAAAATCTAGAGCTGAAAGGAATTAATAGAACACATAGAGAATGCTAACATTCAGTATAACTCCAAACACTCCAAGAGATATTTCCAACTTAGGACATTATGGGGCTGGCAGAATAGTCCATCCCATAAATTCAATTATTGAAATTTGCTGGGAAGTGAGTGAGTACGGTGAGAAGTTTTTAGGAAGATTAGCATTACTCAAGAAAAATTGTTAGAGAAGAAAGAAGATAAACAATAAATCATCTTCGATAGCCAATAGCAAATAATCTTCTTGACGAAAGACCCCACCACTTCTCTGTAACTCTCCAGTTGAACTAAGAAAGTCATTGGATTTAAAGTAATTATGCAGCGATAGACAACTGATAGAGTATAGAATATAACATCTAGGCTGCTGGGAAAACCAACAGAAAGATAACTACCTTAGCAAAGATATATTCCTCAAAGCCCATAATAGGATCTCCAACAGCTTAGAATCAAAATGAGTCCTTTTAGCTTTTTTATCCTATGATGCCTCTACATCAAATTTTAAAAAGAAGATCAATCAAGAAACCAACATTTCAAAGATTCTTTAGCCCATGGTTTTTCCCTTGCAATCCTTTTGAACAGTCAGTTTCTAAGGAGTGGACCCAGAATTAAGGATTTATAACAAAGACTAAGAACCAAAGATGTATATATCTCAGATATCCCATCCACCCCAAAAAAGAGAGAAGCTCTTCCTTCGTTATAGTAGCAGAAAACCCTAATGCATCTCTATTCAATATTTATATGCATGTTAACGTACTGATAAAATAAAGTATAGATACTAGGTCGAAGAGAGGCATCCCTCATGGGACATCCGCCGAAGTGGGAATCTGATAGAGGCAAATCTATCATCATCATACAGCCATCATATCAGTGACCACAATAAAGAAAGCAATGAAAAAAATTATTGATGGGAAGAAAGGGAAGAGTGTGAGTGATAATACAGAGCTGGGCACAGTTGATAACGATAAGCATCCCTTCAAAGATAAGATCATAAAGGATATGAAGAACAATACCTCAGTTTCTGCAAGAAGTCAGATCAGGTTGGTGGCCCCATGGGATTGGCAAAGCTGACACATTTGAGTGCTCGTGTGCTACATGAAATTTTAATATTAAATTCTGAACTCACATTGTGCTTAGATTGAAGGCCAGATTAGGCACCCAGAGCATACCATAGAAGCAGAGTTCCTCAACACAATAAAAAGAAAGAAAAGGAAAGGAAAAAAAATGATGCAATGTTAGAAAGTTTTGACAATTGGCAGGTTGTAAGTGATTTGTCTTATAAAAAGCTCTTGACAAATAATACTTGGCTATACAAGCACTAACATGTGTGTGTGTGCACGGCCCATTTAAATAAACCAAAAGAAATGTAAAATGTATTAGTTATTCATGGTCACCTCAAAAGAATGTTTTGATACAGCTTAGGAATTGCATGTTATGTATGTGAATAATTCTGCAATTCTTTTAGAAGCAGAGTTCCTCATCACAATAAAAAGAAAGAAAAGGAAAGGAAAAAAATGATACAATGTTAGAAAGTTTTGACAATTGGCAGGTTGTAAGTGATTTGTCTCATAAAAAGCTTTTGACAAATAATACTTGGCTATACAAGCATTAACATTTGAGTGTGCGTGCGCCCCATTTAAATAAACAAAAAGAAATGTAAAATGTGGTAGATATTCATGGTCACCTCACAAGAATTTTCTGATACAGCTTAGGAATTGCTTGTTATGTATGTTAATAATTCTGCAATAGTATAAGCGAAACTGCAAGGAAAAAAAAATTAATTGTGCAGACATGTCAACATTGCAAACCTGACCAAAAACAGTTCCAACCTTTCCATTTTATTCCACTAAATTACCATATTATCCATTTATGTCAACATACAGACATATACATAATATATGTCTAAAACAAAATCCAATTACATTGCATATTAATTAAACTTTGAAATTCATGAGCATTGAATGCACGAATAGATATTTACCCAATTTACACAATCTCTTCAATTTCAGTGTTTGGATGATCAATTCCTTCATTGCTTATTTGGATTCAATTCCAACGTTTTTAATGTTTTGCTTGACTTATATGATCTGTAAGTACATCATAGGCCCTAAAGTTCGAATCATGAGTAAAGTAAACAATATAAAGGCATTGAATTGAAAAGAGAGACTGATCATACAAGTTGCCGAGTGTGCTTCAAAAGTTGATGCCTCATTATGATGCTTAGGTAACGTTGATGCCCGAGCTTTTCCAGCACAAGTAGAATCCTTCATCCTACAATAAAATGAAAAAAGAAAGAAAGCAGCAGAGAAAAACAAAAAGAAAGACAGCAAAACGAGAAAAGAAAGAAGGCAAATAAGTCATATCAGTATAACTAGCTTTAATGTTATATTGTAAGTTATTAATCTTCTTATCGATGACTAACATGTTCTATAATAATGTCATCAACTTTTTCATCAAATGTATTCCCTGCAAACCAGCAATGGGGTCAAGGACATAATGTCCTGCCCAAGTCAGGGGTCAAAGTTTAAAGAGACCTAACAAATGAAAACGGGGGTAAGGTTTGCGGCAGAAGATAGAGTGGCCAGAAAGTTGCGTGAGCAAGTATGAAATCATTTATAACGCTACAGAATAACCATATATTCTCATTGTGTACGTTCCGTTACATGAACCTTGCAAACATGCCTAAAGTTAAAACAGTCAAGATAGAAATCCAATCTCCCCACGCTACTCTCCTAAATTATCAGAGGTTTATGATTCCCAAATCATACAAATTGAATCTCATTACAAGCTAAAGTATAATCAACCACATGAATAACAAAAAGTTAAAAGAGCATCCAAGGGAAATATCCATGAAGATTAGTTGCTAACTAAAGGAGTCGCAATCTTCAAAATCAAAACTACCGCCATCAAAATCGGTTTCTTGCAGCAAGCATGATGATGCAGCACCATCATCACCTGAGAAACCAGAAAGAATAGAATGCGTAATATGTACGTCATCGTCTTCCCCAACATAATGATGTTGTTGCTCACAACCAACCGAATACCGATCATCACCAGAATTGATTTGATCTTCAGTGAAACAGGAATCATCAAGGGCATAAAGAAGATTTTCAGACAAAGGCACATGGACAGGAACATGAGGTGGGGGTTCTGTGACTTGAACAGTCTCATCTGTCCTTGATTCCGTTTTGATTTTCTTCAACTGGCGTTTAACTGGTTTAGCCTGAGGGTTAGATTGGACAGATTTCCTCTTTCTACCGCAGTTTTTCTTGTTCTTTTTTTCGAATTCGGCACAACACAGTATAATGAGGAGCATTCTGCATAAGAGAATCATCAAGGGAATACTCCATCATAATCCGGGAAGCATCAGCAGTACCTATGTTGGGATTCTTGTAGCAATATCTCCTGCGATTCCAAGTAATTCCATTAGAATGGAAAGTGCGAAGGTGGTCACCATGCCAACGGCCACAATCGGAGCAAACAGCACGTTCAAATTTGGAGGATCGGCTTTTACGGTTTATCTTTTTCAAGGTGGTAAAAAGAAAAGATCCAGAGTGGATGGACCAGCCCCGTCGTCGTCAATATCGTCGTCGTCGTCTTCGTCATTATTCGATCTTCCAAATTTGTCCCAAACTTGCCAGGGCTCCTCCTGACCGTACAAATCATAATCTTGAACAATGTGAGGACAAGAAAGAGGAAAGCCCATGACTTTGTTGTAAAGATAATGGCAAGCAAGTTCAGAATCAGTAGGATTGAACCTGTAGCCAAGAGGAACGTATACCGCCGTCTTGATCTGGTTTGATTTTTGCAGAAATTAGATAGAAACAGAGAGATTAAAAAGAAAAGCCTAAATTAGGAGGGAATAAAGTATAAAGATTTGGAAAGAGAGGCGAAGTGAAGATCGATCGAGAGTAAAAGAAGAAGAAATAAAGATTTGATGGATGAATGTATTTAATTTGCAGAATCAGAACCAGAAACGGAAACGGAAACCGTATCTTCGATGAGATGAGAAAGAGATTCTGAATTAACGCGTAAGGTAAGAGAAACAGAGAGCGATTTGAAATTAGAAATTAGTGAGGAAACTAATTAACTGAGGCTTGAAGAGGAAAGCTGGTTGGGCTGACGATGGTTAATAGCAACCGTACTGATAAATAAGTTAATTATAACATGGTCCATATATTTTATTAACAATATTTGATTAGTCCTTGTAGAACAATATTTGATTAATCCTTGATAAGTTCATATATTTTATTGACGTTGACCGTCCTCAATTGGCAGTTCATTTTTCAAAAAAAAAAAAGAAAGAAAGAAAAAATCCTTTTCTAATGCTCAAAGATAATAATAATACTAGCATTTTGATTTTAGAAAGGAGGGTCATTATTAAAAATTTTGCATAAAGCTTGATCTTAGATCGAAAGAATCAACCTTATTTTGTTTATACTTTTCTTTTTAATTAACAACAGTGATAATAAATTAATAGTACTAATGATTTAATCATATATATATATATATATATTCCATGTGTTGAAATTAAAAATGAGATGTTTAACTTATAACCATCAAATCAAAAGTAATTAACTGAGGCTTTAAGAAGAAAACTACTTGGGTAGATGCAACTAAATTCGGAAAAAAAAAAATTTCCTCTTTCTATCCATAAAAATTAAAAATGTTGTATTCATTATGTTTATACTACCAAAATGCAGAATGCAGGCTGAGGGTGGTTAATAGCAACCGTAATGATAAATAAGTTAATTATAACATGGTTCTTATATTTTATTAACAATATTTGATTATCTTTATAGTATGAGAAATAATTAAATAGTTTTTTTTATTGATGTTGACCGTCTCAATTCTCAATTGGCAGTTTATTTTTCAACAAAAAAAAAAAAAAATCCTTTTCTACAGCCTCAAAGATAATAATAATACTAGTATTTTGATTTTAGAAAGGAGGGTTGTTATTGAAAATTTTGCATAAAGCCTCCTCACCTTGATCTTAGATTGAAAGAATTAACCTTACTTTGTTTTTGTTTTCATTTTTAATTAGATGCCCTTAAATTAAAAATGAGATAGTGAATTTACCGTCATCAAATCAAAATTAATGTCAACATAAATTACGTTCTTAGTCCAAATTTATGCAAAAAAAATTCAATTATAAATAACTATTATTAAAAGAATATATGGACTAAAAGTTGATTTTTAAATTTTAAGGGCTAGGAAATCCTTTCCTTAATCTTAATTGTTCGTAGTCCTTGATTGAACTCATATGATAACAAATAAATTGCCTTAAAAATATTCTTTGATATAATTATAGAACCAACATGAACCAATTAATATTTATCAAACAAAATTATTAACCAATCAACAAGTAGTAACAATACAAGATTTTTGGTAGAAAAATGTAAGAGCATTGCAAAAATTAAACCAAACAATAGAAATATATTTTGTTAACAATATTGATTAGTCCTTGTAGTATGAGAAATAATTAAATAGTTTTTTTTATTGATGTTGACCGTCCTCAATTGGTAATTCATTTTTCAACAAAAAAAAATCCTTTTTTACATCCTCAAAGATAATAATAATACTAATATTTTAATTTTAGAAAGGAGGGTTATTATTGAAAATTTTGCATAAAGCCTCCTCACTTTGATCTTTGATTGAAAGAATTAACCTTACTTTGTTTTTGTTTTTATTTTTAATGAGCAACATTAATAATAAATTAACAAGTACTAATGATTTAGTCATATATATATATATATATATCACGCTTATACTCGAAGTGAGGTGAGGGTACCGCTAGGCTATCACCTAAGGGATATTGTTGTCGTTGTTTTGTTTCGAAGTTGCCTCTGCGTTTAATGAGTGGACCGCTCTTATAGAGAGAGAGAAACAAGAACTCCGCATCTTTGTAATAGAGCTATAAACTAAGAATCTATGGGTTACCTTATGCCTCTAGTCTACCTCCGGCATCCATAACCGATCTAGGTTAGCACCACGTGCCCGGATTGATCGACCGACGAGACTTTCCTATGATATGTGAGATGAGGCGGTGAATTCTCGTGAACCTAAGGCGACTCTAGCCTCGCAGGTGATCGTTGGGAGTAAAGGCTAAATGGAATTGAAAATTTTATATCGCGCCTTTTGATGATTGAAGAAGGGTTGGCAAACCGAACATTTAGAAATGACCGAGCTAAACGCCCTTTTCTATATTAGTGCATACTCTTAAATTAAAAATGAGACAGTGAACTTAACATAAATTGCATTCTTGATCCAAATTGGTGCAACAAGTTTTTAATTATGAATAAGTACTCGTTAAAAGAAGATATGGACTAAAAGTTGATTTTTAAATTTTAAGGGCTAAGAAAGCATTTCCTTAATCTTAATTGTTCATGGTCCTTGATTGAACTCACATGATAACAAATAAATTGCCTTAAAAATATTTTTTGATATCATTATAGAACCAATATTAACCAATTAACATTTATCAAACAAAATTATTAACCAATTAACAAGTTGTAACAATACAAGATTTTTGCTAGAGAAATATACTAGGAGCATTGCAAAAATTAAACCAAACAACGTAAATATATTTGTTATGATATAAGATATAACTATATAAAGATGATTGTTTTTTATTTTTCAATAATTGTGTTTCAAGTAATAATAATTAGAATAAAGAACTTTTGTTGTAATAATTTAAATTGTAAGAACATATATATTATAATATAAAAATAGACTAATTGGTTTGATACTATTTTGAACTATCAATTAAACGAAGACTAATATCTCGAATTTTAATTTTTTTAATTTGAGTAGTATACATTTTGTATGGTTTGTAATCGAATCGAGCGATTTCATTGACCAACATCCGAGCATACGTAACAAACACGTGATGGTTAAATAACCAAAAAATCCAAACTAATTTTTAAGCAATCAAATGAAGATGAAATCATAACAACCACATTTATAATGAAGAAGTCTCACTTGGAAATTTTATCAAACATCTTTTAAGCAAACTTCATATCATAAATAAAATATAACAAACACTAAACTTCAAACTCATTAAATGATATTTCATTCAATTTTCATTGCTCCCAACTCAAAATTATGTTTACTTCTCTTCGAAATGTACTAGAAGTGATAATGGTTTTCAAATTGACATTTTGCAACTCTAGTCATAGAATCATTTGGAAAACTTGCCTTTTTCAACTTGTAAAAAATAAAAAATAAAAGAACTCGGACACTTAAAAGGATAAAATTAAAACTTTATCACTACCTCTCATGTTTCTACTCCTCTTCTCTCCAATGGTTGTTGTCATGTCCTCCACCACGCTAACAACAACTACTACTACCTTATCTATTGATCAAATAACACGCATTTTTTTTAGAAACCAATTGACTCTTTTAATCAAAAGCTCATAAATTTTGCTAATTCTATTCGGATTTTCATTCTATAGAAGAGTGTTTTGAGAACCTATAAAATATTAGTTGAGATTTTGAGAACACAATAGAAGGGAAGGATAAAAAGTTTGTTATTAAGAACTTAGTTGTTAATAGATCCGATTCAATTTTTTGAAACGAAGAATGAAATTGATAATACATTTGGTTTAGAGGGTATAACAAAGATGAAGGGAAAAAATGTGGAGCTTGAGAGATGAGGGCTTTTGGGGTGTTTTATCAAGGAGGAGAAGGTGAAAGTTAAAATGGAAGTAAACAAAGAGTTAGATGGTTTGGGTAATATGGAAGAAGGTGAGATAAGAGATGTTGATGTAGAGAAAATCTTGGTGGAAATGATAGTGATGTTGAAGTATTTGAGGATGAAGAGGAGGATAAAGAAGAAGATGGATACAAGATGGTTGAGTTAAGTGGTGTTCATGGAGATAAAGAGCATGCTAGTATGGGTTAATTTCTCATTTCACATTTTAAGTTATGATATCATAGTACATATTACATAATAAGACTACATGTCTTTTATTTATTTGGCTAGGTTACTATTACGTGTGAAAAACCATGCTAAATACAAATTAAAAAAAAAACTAAACTTCGGATACTAGTTTCTATTTGATTGATAGTATATGATACCATCAAACCAATTAGCTTATAAAAAATCATATTTTTTTAAAAAAAAGATTTGAAAGCAATATTTTCTTAATAAATTTAAGTTAAATACAATAATCCTTAAATCATTACACATTTCAACTTCATTTTTCTCTCTTCCATTCCACGATCCAAATGCGTAGCATTCCACAAAAATAAGGGAAATTAACTGATCACAACTTTCGAATTTCTCTAGAAATCCTCACTTTCAACTCACCAAAAACTAAAATACCTTAAATGGAAAGGCAAACTTCAGCATTGAACGAGTTTTAGGTCTTATAGTGTTCTACGTTGTTTATTCATTCGACCTCATTCACCACATTGTTATAGGTCCTTCATAAGAAAAAACCTCTTCGAAAAAGGGGGAGAAATGAATGAATTAAAAAGAAGAAATAAAGAAATCTTCCATGTTGTGAGTCGTTCTATTAGCTTTATTATCTACTCTTTCATCGGATAAATCCTCGTTAATGGAGCTCTCCACATCTAGACTTTTTTTTTTAAATGAATAATTTTTTCCTAACTAAATTAGAGAAGGTTCCCCCTTTTGAGAAGAAAAAGAAAATGAAATAAGAACAACACCTCACAAATGCATATGTACAACTACTATGCTCGAGAATGTCCCTTCTCTCTCTCTCTCTGTGAAACCTTTTATGCCTTCCACAACTACTACTCTTGGTTAATGCATATAAGTTATATGCTGATTTAACAATCAATCTTTCCCATGAACAATTATTGTCAATATATCATGTCATGAACCTAAACTTATGAGCTAGAAAACAGCCACAGGACAAGCTTAAAGGCATCATGACAGTAGAAATTGGACGAGTCGATGTTCACCATAAACAAATGGCTAAACAACTCAAGTGTGCAATCAACTATAAACCACGCAAAGGACATATGTATGACATACGTACATGATAACTATTATAAAGGAAGAAAGATACCTCGGCATCAATCCAATAGATTGTCACATGATAAACATCGGATACGGATTTACCATCGATTGAATGAGTGATGTTCCTAACCTCATCACACACCATTCTACATTTGGTGAGGAATGCAAATGTTAGGATTGAAAATTCATAAGTATTAGTAAATTATATGAATTCTTGTAATGTGTATATAAGTTTTAGCTTATTTGTAGCTCGTAAATCCATAATCCTCTTTGACAATATGCGTCCAAAAGATAGAAGGTGAAATTAGTAACAATAAAATCATTCTTGTAGCCTTCTAAATCATCCAAAATAAAGATAAATTCTAATCAAGAAGAGTCAAATTGAGATTGTAATTAGAACATAATGACAATAAATAAAGAAATCGATGAAAAAAAATTATTTAACATATGATGAGTATCTAACAATTTTGTTATCGTTGTTCATGCTAATGGTGCTACTTGTTTATTACTATTCATCCCGAAAGTAATGGGGACTAGAATTCACTATGTTACTTATTCCGTATAACAAATTTAAATGCTTCGAATTATGTACTATTAATTTTTATACTACACATTCTAAATCTATTAAATATAGTTATGATGTATATAAAAAGAAAAAAATAAATAATTGATTTTATTAAAAATTAACTAAGTATCTATACATATAACACCAACTATTTACTATTAATTTTTTTTATTTGAATGTTTTAAAATTAGTTTCTTTTGAATAAAATAATTAAAAGAACCACCCAAGGATTCGAATATAATTTTTAATGCTATATATATATATATATATATATATATATATATATATATATATATATATATATATAATGTACATGCTTTTAAAAAATAATCTTCTTATCAATATTAAATAAGAACAAAAAATTATTTTTTATTAATTAACTTTTATACAAGTTTTTACATTAATTATAAATTTATTTGTTTATATAACCTTATAAAAAAATATTAAGGTTTTTTTTTTTAATAAAGAAATTAATTCATTTTGTATCTAGATTATTACAAGTTTTATTTAAGAATCAATGCATACAATTTTTTTTTCAGTTTAAAATTTATGAAAAACATAAGGAATAATCAATTAAATGCAAGATTTTGGTTAAAAAGTTATTAAATTTGTTGTTTTTTAAAATATTTTTACCCTTGATTCGATATATTTTAATAAACATGTAACATAGACCTGAAATGATTTTGTTTTATATGATCTATAGAGTAGCGCGGTCAATAAATTAGTTTTACATGCTAAGACATCCGATAAACTAGATGACGATGCTACTTTTCAACAAAACCAAGGTTTTACTCCAATTTTTATGCTTGCTTGATAAATTTATAAAATACAAACACTTAAATACAAATTAATAATATCAATATTTTGTTACCATGAAAATCAAAATTATAATAGTTATGAGTTTTTAGAACTAACAATTATAATAGATATTTTGCAACTACAAATCGAATCGTTTGCTTCGCATTCATACACATTGACGAAAGAAGTAATGTTTACGGTATTATTTAAACTCAAAATTTGAGCTTTTCATCTCCTAAAAACTCTTTCAATTTTCTTACAATTATTATACTAATATTGAATTTTTTTTTTAAAATTCTTATACAAGAGGATGGTGATTAATTAGAAACTACACCATGTAAGTAATATATGATCAAATTTAATCACTAAATTAATTTAGGATGGAGATTTAAAATAAGAAACTAAAAAATCAAAGTAATTCACTTTTAGCTCTCTCTCTAAAAGATACTTTTAAAAAATTTAATCACTAAATTAATTTAGGATGGGGATTTAATTAGAAACTACACCATCTAAAACATACTTTTAGCTCTCTCTCTCTCTCTCTATCTCTCTCGCATACATACGTATATGTAGAAGTAAAACATTCATTTAAAAATATAAAAATAATTTATTGTATAAATTATAATAATATATTTTTTAAAAATAAAACATTCATTTTCTAATTTTTTTTCCAAAATTCATATATTAAAAAACCAAATTTATTAACAAATAAAATTAAATAAAAAAATTAAAAATTAATTTAATGAGAAATTTAATATGAAACAAATAATTGAAGAAAAACATTTTAAACCATAAGAATAAAATAATCGGATATGTATGTTAACATTAATGTCAAATAAATAATTAATATTGGTTCATGGATATTAAAGAGACCAATAATATATATGTTTTCTTTCTCGGTGAAGGGACCAATTATATATGACCGCTTAACTTGCACATCACTTGCTGGAGATCTCGGTTATTATTATATTCTTTTAAGGGTTTCCTTTTGCGTCTTGGTGATCCAATCCTAAAACACATTCAGCATTTAAAATAATTAGCCAATTTTGTTTTTTTTTTTTTTTGGTTTTATCATGAGATTGGTGGCCAAACTTTTAAAAATATAAAATAAATTATAGGAAGAAAAAAAAGAGTAGGGTCGCACTCGATTGGTGTATGTATTAATATTTTAAAAAAATCGAGTCAAAATAATTTTTTAACCGATTATTATTTTTTAAAAAAATTAAGTAAAATTATCTAAAACACACTCGTTAGCTCTCCTTCTCATAAGAATTTACATATGTAATTATACTACTCTCATTTAAAAATCATAAAAAAATCAATCATATAAATTATAATAATATATTTTAAAAAATAAAATAATCAAGTTCTAAAATTTTATTTCAAAATCCATCTATAAAAAATCAAATTTATTAACAAGTAAAATTATATAAAATTAAAAAAATTAATTTGATGAGAATTTTAATAAGAAACAAACAATTGAAGAAATAAATTTTAAACAATAAATATAATATAATCGATATATATATATATATATATATATATATATATATATATATATAAACTAAAATTTTTAAAATTATTATATATATTCGATTACCATAAAACTCTATGCAAAAATAAAAAAATAACGATCTTTCTTATGTTTTCACGCCTAATTTAATTATAAAAAATATAAAAATAAATTATTAGAAGGAAGAAAAAAATAAAGGCAAACGCCGATTGGGATTGCTTGTGTAAGCCTCGCTTGAGACCGCTTCTCAAGGCCATCCTTATAAAAAAAAAAAAATGAAATGCTTCTAGGCCAGCTCTAAAAAAGAAAAAAAAACGATAGAAATGAGTCGGGCCAACTATCGGAGCTCACTTCTCCGAGCCGGCACTACAATAAATAAATAAATAATATGATACAAGTAAATGAATAGGGAAAACCCTAGTTCTTTTAACTTTTTTTAGAATAATTATAATATATGAAACACACTTCTAGCTTTCTCTTTCTCATTAGAATTTATATATGCAACACTTGTCATTTTCATTGAAAAATCATAAAAACAATCAATCATATAAATTATAATAATATATTCTAAAAAAATAAAAAAATTAGGTTCTAAAATTTATTTTTAACAAGCTATATATATATCAAATTTATTAACAAATAAAATCATATAAAATTTAAAAATTAATTTGATAAGAATTTTAATAAGAAACAATCAAATGAAAAAATAAATTTTAACTAATAAAAATAATATAATCAAATTTATATGTTCAAACTAAAATGTTTAAAAATATCATATATATTCTATTATTGTCAAACTATACATAAAATTAAAAAAAAAACGATTTTTTAATATATTTACAAACCTAATTTCATGATAAAAAATATATAAAACAATTATTTATATAAAAGGGGGAACAACTGTCATATGATATTTAAATAAATCATTTATTAATAAATATTATATTATTATACCAATATATTTAAAATAATATTTAACTAATAAAATGTAATATTAATTTAATTATATAGTATAATTATCAAATATATGATATTATTAAAATGCTTATCAATTTTTATATATATTCAACTTCGTAAAATAATATATCAATATATTATTTATATCATAATATAAAATAATAACATAATATTATATTGTATAATAAATACAATATTCACAATCAAAATACAAATAACTATTTTATAATAATAATTTGATATTTTTTTGTAAAATATAATGATAATATATTATAGTTATTAACTATAAATAATTTTATTATTTCAACAAAATATATTTCTAATAAATAATGACCTAAATAATATATTTGGCCATATAATAATAGTCCCACAAATATAGAAACTGAAAAAAAAAAGGAGGCTAGATCTTTTGAAGAAAAAAAACAAAAAAGCACTGAATAAATATAATATTCACAATCAAAATACAAATAACTATTTTATAATATTTATTTGATATTTTTTATAAACTATAATGATAATGTATTATAATTATTAACTATAAATAATTTTATTATTTTTTAAAAAATATGTTTCTAATAAATAAAGACATAAATAATATATTTGATAATATAATAATAATCCTACAAATATAGAAACTGAAAAAAATAAAATAAAAAGGAGACCGGACGTTAAAAAAGAACAAAACAAAACAAAAAAACACTACTATTTTTTTTTTGTAAAATATAATGATAATATATTGTAATTATTAACTATAATAATAATCCTACAAATACTTTAATAGTTGAAAAAGAGGATAAATTAGTCAACAAATTATATTACCCTCAAGGCAATCAAGGTTGCAGAATACAAATTGAAAAAACCAAAATTCGGATGCCAGCTTCTATTTACTTGTACTAAGTTCGGATACCAGTTTCTATTTGATTGATAGTACAAGATACTATCGAACCAATTAGTTTATAAAAAAAAAAATTACAAGATACTATCGAACCAATTAGTTTATAAAAAAAAAAATTAGAATTTTTTTTTAAAGATTTGAATACAATATTTTCTTGATAAATTTAAGTTAAATACAATAATCCTTAAATTATTATACATTTCAACTTCATTTTTTCTCTCTTCCATTCCATGATCCAAATGGTCCATAAATCTCATTTAAAGTACCAACGATGATTAAGGGATTAAAAAAAAGCGTTACCATTAATTTTGTATGTTAATTTTAAGTGTTGATATTAAAATTCATTAAAACTTGACGGATCGGTTTTTTTTTTCTCTTTCTCAACTCTTCTTCTTTCGTTAGTCCAATAATTAGTTTT